TATAAGTATATATTATATATATATAATAATTATATATAATATGTATGCATGTATGTATGTATATATACCACATCTTCTTTATCCATTCATCTGTTGATGGGTTCTTAGGTTGTTTCCATATCTTGGCTGTTGTAAATATCGCTGCAAAGAATATAGAGGTGCATATATCTTTTTGAGTTAGTATTTTCATGTTATTCAAATAAATACCCAGAAGTAGAATAGCTGGATCATATGGTAGTTCTATTCTTCTTTTTTTTGAGGAATCTCCATGCTGTTTTCCATAGCGGCTGCACCAATTTACATTCCCACCAGCAATGTATGATGGTTCCCTTTTCTCCACACCCTCTCCAACACTTATTTCTTGTCTTTTTGACAATAGCCATTCTAACCAGCATGAGGTAATATCTCATTGTGGTTTTGATTTGCATTTCCCTAATAATTAGTGATGTTGGACATCTTTGCATGTGTCTGTTGGCCATATGTATGTCTTCTTTGGGAAAATGTCTATTTCGATCCTCTGCCCATTTTTTAATCTGGTTGTTTGTTTTTTTATTGTTGAGTTGTATGAGTTCTTTATATATTTTGGATATTAACCTCTAATATAACTTTATTCTGGTCAATAATACCCAACCAGAACAATGCTCTCATTATTAAAACATGTCTCCATAAGTAAAATAAAGTACTTGAACTGATAGTTAGATCCCTATCTCTTCTGCCTTGGCTTTTGATGGAAATAGGTCAATAAGAGATTAACTCCTGCTTCTGATGTAAGTTTTGCAGAGAAAGACCAGTGTGAAAGGTTTATTATGCTAAGATGGACAGAAGTTGGAGAAACACTCAAAAAATTCCATGCCTCAGTCCCTGGCTAGGGCTGCCTGCAGCTCCTTTTACATCCCCACCATGAGAAAGATGTCCTAAAACCCAACACTATTCCCTCTCTTCTCTCCAGGAAGAGCAAGATGGTGTCTTGCATAGCTGGGCCAGGGCCCAGAAGCACTATGAGAAGGCTGATTTATTTATCAGATCGCTCAAAATTCTGTGAAATAAAATTCAACATATACTACTAGTGTCATAACACAGAAGCTTCCAACCTTCTAGGTGCTGGTTCCCCTATGGCTTCACTCTCTAGATGGTCTTTGTGGGTGATGGTGGTTTGGAGGCTGTGGTGGGAGTTGTAACCCACTCCATTTGAGACCATCATTTAAGAAGGTCCAGAACCATACTAGATTCATTTTATGAGTAAGACACATGGCTGCTTTTCTATTGCCTTCCCTGGTCCTTGATGCTTTTTGAATCCTGGGAGCACTTAGACTAATTACTTTTCTAAAATAGAGGCTAAGTACTTCTCTTTCCTCTATAGTTCCTTCCAGCAATTTCCATAATCCTAGGAGTAGAGAATGTTCTATCATATCTGTCCTCAGATTCTATTACCTACATTTTGTGATGTTTGTGCATTTTGCACAAGGTCCCTGGGGTTTTTCTGCCTGTCTTTTCTGGTAGTTTGGTCATTCTGGGGATGTGCAGGAAAGAGACTGGGATAAGCTGGCTACCTGAGTGGGGAGAGTATTTCTTCCTCGTGGTGAGGTTGCAGGGTGTGTATGTGAGGGGGTCAGGAGGAGAAAGGTGGAGAGACAGCCAACGGAGCCCCAGAACTGGGGAAGTAGAAAGACACCAGCCTGAAGGCTTGGTGATTTGGGCTCAAGTCCTTCCTTTGCTCTTAGCAGTTGTGATGCTGGACAAGTCAATTAACCACAGTGGGGCTCAGTTTCCACACTTGTAAAGAACTGGAGTGATGTTGGGGAGGAGTCTATGGTCCCTCATATACATGTCTCCCCAAATAGACCATGAGCTGCTTGAAGTTAGGCTATGATTTCCACATCTTCATGGTCTTGTGCCCAGTGCAGCATCTGGGACATGCTTGTATCCCTTAGGCATGAATTTGGCTGCAAGTAACAGAAACCCACTAAGAGCAGAATGCATCAAGATTTATTTTCTGCTGTTACAAGAAGACTAGAGCTGTGCTGGTTTTGGTTAAGGTGCTCAATGAGGCTTCGTTTCCTTTATTTTATTTTATTTTATTTTGTTTTATTTCTTTCTTTCAGTGAGTTTTTTGAGGACCTGGGTTCTTTCCATCTTCCCTCCTTCATCCTGTGCATGTTGGCTTTTGTTCTTGTTCTTGCCAACTCATAGTCCCAAGGTAGCTGCCACATTGCTAGGCATCAAACCCACGTCCAAGGCAAAAGAAAGGAGAATGAGACAGCACTGGCCATTCTGGCCCTTTTATAAAGAAAGTAAAAGAATTCCCCAAGCCACATCAGGTTACATCTCATTGGCTATAACTATGTCACATGACCACTGCTAGCTGAAAGGGATGCTGGGAATGCAAGTGTCTGGCTTTCTAGATTCTAAAGTAGGAGACAGCAAGAAGAGGGGTAGACATGGCCATTGGGTTCAATAAACATTTTTAAATAAATACAACTAGACAGTAAGCTGAAAAATGCTTCTCGTTTCCCATTTGGTGTGTACAATGCAATTGTTTTGAGGAAATAAATACTACATTTGATATGTTTTTAAGTTATTGAAATTGCTGTCTTTTTTTTTTTAATTTTTTTTGGTGAGGAAGATTGGCCAGGAGCTAACATCTGTGCCAATCTTCCTCTACTTTGTATGTGGGATGCCACCACAGCATGGCTGATGAGGGTGTAGGTCTGCACCCAAGATCCGAATCTGCAAACCCTGAGCTACCAAAGCGGAGTGTGTGAACTTAATCACTACACCACTGGGCCAGCCCCACTGCTGTCTTGTTTTCATAAGGCAAAACAGGAATGACCTGCGTTTTCTCTCACAGGTGTGGGCAGGACGTGGAGGAGGCCCAGTCAGAGTCCATGGAGAACTGAGTGTGGAGGGAGCTTATGTTGACGTTTTCCTGAAAGGATACTTTACTTTCATGTCCTACTGCTGGTCACTCTCCTCACATGGTCAGTCAACTATAACTAGTGGAGAAGTTCCTGGTTCTGACGGGTTTGATAACCTTCTGATTCATAGGCATTATCCCGACATTTGAGCAAAAGAGTGACACATTCACACCGAAAAGAAAACTTACCAGAACGTGGCATGGACACAGAATGCAATCTCTCTTCTTCACCAATGAAAAAGTGCATATAAATCACTTAACAAGTGCTTGGCACACAAGAGGCACTTCACAAATGTTAGATGTTATTATTTTATTACTGTTAATAAGCATGATGCTTTTTTCTCCCCGCCTACCTTGTCAACAAGGGTCTCCATTACCCAGATGCATCTGGACAAAATGACGGGACCCATGATTGAACTAGGCAGTTCCCCAGTTCCACTTCCACTCCCCAGGAGGTTTCTGGAAGAACCTCAGGTGGGCAAGCCACACTTGAAGTCTTCTCGGGCATGTCTGAAGTACTCTGGTTGGGTAAACTGTCATCACACAGAAGCTGGCCTTTTAGGAAGATAATCTGAAATCCTAATTGTTGCTTTTAAAAATTTTCTCCTCATCATAACCATTTTTGTTTCCTGTTAGAATTTAATTTTATCAGTTTTCTGAACACAAATAAAAGGAAGCTATTTACAACTTGTATTCCTGCATTAAAAAAAGTACCAAGTTCTCTGGCAGAGCTCTCTTCTCCAAGAGAGGAGGGCTTTGAATGCATCTCCCACACTGCTGCCTTCTAGTGCTCACTTGCTTTTCTGTTATTAGACATTAGCAGTATAATACAGAGTCCAAGGCAGTCCCTGATGTTACAGAGACAGCTGCGAGCTGTAGATTCACCTGTCACTCGTTTATAACTTTTCTTTCATCTCACCTCTAGGCTGGGAGGCAGTAAAATGTAATGATAAGGGGCCAGGATTAGCAATCCAGAGACATGAGCTTAAATCTTGACTTCGCCATTTTCTAGCTCTGCAAATTTCGTTCCATTACTTATTCTTTCTGAATTTCATTTCCTTATCTACAAAGTGGGCAAATGAATACCCAACCCACAAAATTACTGCAAGCATTAAATAAAATACTATATGAGACAGTGTTTTATAAAGTGTTCAACTGCAAGTTCGGAAGACTCAACTCAAACAACTGAAGCAAAATGAGAATGTATTCACTCATTTTGAAATAATGAAAACAGTTAGAGCTTCAGGTTTGGCTAGATCCAGGGGCTCAAACACTGCCAACAGCTCCAGATCTCACTCTACTTTTATTCCACTTCCCTCCACATTGGCCCTATCCTCAGACAGGTTCTCCCTTAGTAGGGCAAGGCAGCTGCAATAACTCCAGTCTTTCTCCTCCAGTTTCAAGTCCAGCGGGAGAGAGGATAGCTCTCTTTCAACAGTCCAGCAAAAGGGTCATTACATGTCATTGGCTGGGAATGGATTATCCTGGAACCAATGCAACATTATGATTGGTCACACCTAAACCATGAACCCACCTTTGAAGCAAGGGGTGGAGGCAATACTACCTGCATGGACTGAAAGTACAGTGGTTTCCAAGAAAGAAATTGGGGTGCTATTGCCAAAGGATGGGGAAAATGGATGTAGCCAGAGTCAGGGTTGGGGGCAGGGAGGCAAATTTCTCCTGGAATATCATAAAAATGAAAGTGAATGTGTACTTTAACACCAATCCTAGAATACCATAATGGAGGACATCTTTCTTGGACCTTAAAAGAAGTAAAATTAGGCTAAGTGAAGAAAGTGTCACATGATACAACAGTTAATGAACTCATATAAGTTATTATTTCAAGAACTGAATGGGGGCTGGCCCCGTGGCCGAGTGGTTAAGTTCGCGCGCTCTGCTGCAGGCGGCCCAGTGTTTCATTGGTTCAAATCCTGGGCGCGGACATGGCACTGCTCATCAAACCACGCTGAGGCAGCGTCCCACTTGCCACAACTAGAAGGACCCACAACGAAGAATATACAACTACGTACTGGGGGGCTTTGGGGAGAAAATGGAAAAAAAAATCAAAAAAGAAAAAAAAGAACTGAATGAAAACATGGATTATTTTTAATTGGATGAGAGATTCACAACGAGAAACCAGAATTGCTGGATGGGGCCAGGGTGGTGAGTGGCATCTGGAACTCTGGAAAGTCATCCGTCAAGGACAACCATGCCCAACACCAGCATACAGAGTGGCCAGGATTGAGTCAATGATGCTTGAGTTCTCAGTGAGCCAGAAGGATGGATGGCTGGGCAGAGGGGCTGGAGCCTCTGAGTTCCCAGAAGTCTCCATCTTACCTTCCAGAATGGCTGCCCCTGGACAAAGATCTTTCGTTTGAGTTCTTCCCACCAAGCAGTGGTTCCCAAACCTGGCTGCCCCCTAGAATGACCAGCTTTTTATAAAGACGATTCTAGGAAGCCCTGCTGGCAATTGAGTCGCTTGGCCTGGAACGGGGCCCAGAAGTCTAGATTTTGAACAAGCTTTCTTGCCGCCAGGACAGGAAAGTGTTTGGGATCTCAAGGGACCCTGTCCATCCCTCCCCAGCTGCTCTCTCCACTCTGCACTGGGTGAATCTGTTAACACTGCTGCTCCCTCCCCAGAATGTGGTCCCCCCAAAGGGCAGGGACTCAGGCGGCTTTGGGTACCAGGGACACAGCACAGTGCCTGGCGTGGAATGAGAAGGCACTAAACATTTGTGGAAGGAAGGCTGGACAGACAGGCAGGCAAGCTGCCTTTTCCCATGTGGGCTTTTCTGGGAAAGAAAAGCTTCTATTTCTGGAAGGAGCTGCTGTGACTGAGACAAGATCATTGCAGCAAAGGAAGAAAGGCCAGTGGGGGAGGGAAAGGCTCATGATCCCCCAGACCACATTTTCTTTTAAAAGACTCCTCCATAACTTTAATAACAAAGTCACAACAACGGGACTGAAGTGTGACTATTTGCCCGGGTTAGCATCATATCCCCATTTTACAGATGATGAAAGGGAGGTCCAGGGAGCTGGTCTGCGAACACAGCATTATGAAATGACCCAGCTGAGACTCTGCAGCCAGAGTGTGTAACCGCCACCCGACCTGCCCCTCACCTCTCACAGGTGTGGCAGCCCAGTTCTGGAGAAAACATCCTGCCTATTTGAGAAGTACCCATTTCTATCTTAGAAGCATCCAGCAAAAATAAGTCAATAGCTGAGGAAATCAGGGGAGAGCAAAAGGCCCCTCAAGAAAGAGAGCATTGTACACCTCTCCAAACAGGCTATTTCCTGTCTAATTTTTATTCCCCTGCTGTGTGCTGAAGGTCACTGGTTACGTCTGCACAAACCAGCGAAGTCACGATAAAGGAACACTTGGCCAGGAAAATGGACCAGAGTGGAGAGGAGGAGGGGACAGAGGAGGAGGAGGTGAGCCAATTCAACAAGGGACGGTCCGGCCTGCTTTCCCTCCCTAAACCGGCCCAATGACCTTCCTCGCTCACAGTGACCACTCCTCTGGGCTGGCTTCCTGCAGGCCCACAAACAGCCCAGTCTCAGGAGCCAGCCTGCGTTCCTGCCTCCAGCTTGGGCGCTGCTCGCACTTCCCAGGAAGGAAAGCTCTCTTGAAAGGGCTGGAAAGGTGGGTGCCACGTTGAGGATCCTTTCATTCTTCTCAGAGTGTGCTTATTAAGAGTTTGCAGCCGGGGTGGGGCATCAGGCCTCTTTCTGAAAAAGTACTTGATCATCATCTGGAGAGAGAAACATACTTAATGACAGAGCCTGGCTGCTCCCAAGGGGATGACTGGTGCGGTGGGGAGAGGGATGAGGGAGGCGACAGGATGGGGAGAAAGTAATTATTCTCCTTCGGATCTGCAAAGGCCAGTCCAAGAGGGCTTTAGAAAAGACAATCTGGAGTGAGGCAGGCTGCCTTTCTGGATGTTGCATGGCTTGGGTGTCAGGAGTGACTAAAGAAAAGCCACCTGCTTAAGGGGGGGCCTGGTGGCTCAGGCTCACAGCCAGCACTCCTCCCACAAATTAGGACACACCAAAGGTGTCAGGAGGGCTGTGGTCTTCCCAGATCCAGACCCAGGAAGGAGGCACGGGCTCAGAGGCTTCCTCTGTCCCCTTTCTCTGCTCATCTTTTTTCCCCACACAGACAAGCACAAAGTAGGCCCTCAAAACACCACTTGGTCATTCACAGCTCAAACTGAGGGGGAGACTGCAAGAAGGATGAGTTGCACGCAGGCTGTCCTCCGCGGCCAGAAGTCAAAGGTTTAAAGAACAAGGAGTCAGGGCTTACCTGGTGTTGACAAAGAATTTTCTTTCTGTTAAGAGAAAAACATCTCCTTAAAATGTTACTTATTACCCAAGCATTCTTGAAAAAGAAAGCTTTCTCGACACGCCCCAAAAAATCTGTTTTTGCTCTGTGTTTAAGGAAAATCTTTCCCATCACGCAGAGCCCTCCTGAGGGGCAGGACTGCTTCCGAGGGGGCAGGTCCCTGGTGATGGAGAGCTTGAGACCAAGGCCTGGCAAGGATGGCCCCCGACTCCTGCACCCACTCCCTGGGGGGTTAGCATAGTTAACCCCACACCAGGCCATGTCAGAGGTGGTCTCCTTGGCATCACTTTCTGGGCTTCTCTTCCTACCTTTCTGCCACGCCTACTTGGAGGTTTTCCTGGGCACCCCCTCCTCCCACGGCTTCAACAGCATCTCTCAGCTGATGGGCCTATTTTTGCAGCTTCTCTCTCATTGCTAAGAGCTGCTGTTTACTTTCTCCATATCTGGCTCTGTGCTAAGCGCCTTGGATGAGAGCTGTTCAGTGTGGTGTCTAAACCTCGGGCTTGGAGCAGACCACACACTTTCAAATCTTTCCCTCAGCTACTCACCGAATGCATAACCTTGGACAAGATGCTTGCGTCTCTGTGCCTCAGTTTCCCACACTTCAGAATGGAGGAAACAATAACACGGACTCCACGGGGTTCTCGTGAGGCTCACACAAATTAAGACATCCCACGTGCTTTTAACAGTGCCTGGCACGTGTGTCAAGGTGTTAGCAATTCTAATTGCGTCTTTTAAGCCTCACAGCACCTCCAAGGTAAATATTATTATCCCTGTTTGCAGAGAGGAAAACTGAGGCTGAGAGAGGAGGTGGAGCCTGACGAGAGTTTGCAGTCCAGCATTTTCTCTGCTACCCTGCAATAAAGATAATAGTAACAGCTAACCGTTAGAGAGTAACTGTCAGAGTCAGGCTTCAGATCCAGGTGGCAAATTTCAGAATCCACTCTTTTAATCACCATACTAGACTGCCTTTCTGTAATGGTTATGGAAAGAATAAATATTCAACCCCAGAGTTTACTGCTAAAATGGCACCTAGGTTGGGGTTGGAGAATGTCTTTGAAAGTGCAGTTGACTCAAACCAGTTCTTTGGAGGCAGCACTGATCCCCACGGGCAGACTTAAAAATGCGCAAATAGCCTGGCACATAATACTCATTTAATCCTCACCGTGATCTCGGTGGTATTACCGGCCTTATTTTACAGGTAGCTGCGAGAGAGTCAGCAACTCCCCCATGATGTTGCAGTTAGTATATGTTGGAATTAAAATTTGAATCTGTGTCTGACTCGAAAATCCCTGGCTGGGTCCCAGAATCTTGATGGAGCTTAAAAAAAAAAACAAAGCAAAACAAAAACAATTCATGCTCACTGACTCAGAATCTCTTGGGGTGGGGCCTGGGCATCTGATTTTTAAGAACCAGAATCTGACGTGTAGCCAACCCTGAGCACCCTTCGCAGCTACAATGCCTCTTCCAAGTGCCGGGCCAGCATTTCCAGCCGCCGGCCGAACATCCCACCTGGGCGCTCAGCAGCATCTCACCCTCTCTCCCTTCTTCTCGGGGTCTGGAACCGCCATCCATCCACCCGCCTCCCCTGCTGGGAACTGGGTCATCCTCAACTGCTCCCTCTCCTTCCCCGTGGCTAGTGCTACCCAAGACATCGCCAGAGCCCATGCCCTCTTCTGTCTTTGCCGCCTCCACTTTGGTAAAATCTTCTCATTTCTGGTCTGGGTTACGGCAGCCGCCTCCTAACTCATCTCCCTGTCTCGAGTTCTCCTCCACGTCTCCATCTCTCTCCAGGTTATTCCCATTCCTTGTCCCTTGTCCTCTCCAACCCTGAAGTCCAGCCCACATCCTTTCTCATGCCAGACTTAACGAACTAAAAACTATCTCACCACCTACTTTTCTGCTTAAAAACTTCCACCAGCACGAGCCCCCCCGGGGGGGCTAATATCCACATTTCTTAGCATAGCAAACCCAGCCCCCAGTCCCTGGCTCAAAGTTCCCATGTTCCAGCCACATGGAATTTCCCCACATCCCCCAAACGAACTGTTCTTTCACAGCCTGTGAACATGTCACGTTGTGCTTCCCGACTGAAGTGGGCTTCTGACCTGGCTTGGCTGAAAAACTCCTACTTGTCCAGTGGGACCCAGCTCAAAAGTCACCTCCCCTGGGAAGCCTTCCTGGAGTCTCCCAGGGAGATGGCACTGCTTCCTCTGTCCTTCCCCAGCACAAGGCTGCATTTTCAATCACAGGGTGGCATTGGAATTTGATGACAAGCCTGTCCCTGAGTGAACTCCTCATTCAGCAATCACATATTAAATGTCTCCTCCTGCCAGGTGTGGGCCCAGGTGCTGGGGATACTGACGAATAAAACTGAGTTTCCGTCTTCAAGTCTACTGAGCGTGGCAGAGAAGAGGGGACAGGGCATTTCAGAGAGAGGGCAGAGCACGTGCAAAGAACAAGAAGGCAGGGGCAGCAAGTCATACATATGTAGGTGAGGGAAGATGCTTAAAGAGAGTGGCAGGAGACGAGGCAGGGAGATGAGTGAGGAAAGCTTGGGAGGGCTATGAGATCCCCCTCTCGTGCGCCGTGAGACATCCCCCCACTTGCCCCGAGATTCCCTCCACGCGATGGAGATAGGACTTGAGAGGACCATGATGAGATTTGTGGCTCAGAAAGATCCTGTGAGTTTCTGGAGGTTGTGTCTCAACCACCTTTACAACCACAGCATGTAACAGTTCCTGGAACACAGTAGGCCCTGGGGAAACGTGGCTCAAAAGAACAAACGCACGCTGGCCAAGGAATGCCCCTTGTGGGGAGGGGTTGGATCTGACGCGCTGGGGTCCCTGAGATTCGATGTTTCCAGTGACTAAGCCTCGCTCCGCCCCCAACCCCCGGGGGTGCCCGCAGGTGCCTGACTCCCGCCATGTTGGCGCTGCTGTGTGCCTTCCTGCTCCTGGCGGCCGGCGCCTCGGACCCTCGGGCGGAGCCCAGCTCTAATACGACGGAGCAGATCCGCGACATGCACGCCAAAGTGACGGAGATCTGGCAGGAGCTGCTGCAGCGGCGGCAGGGGGGCAGCGGCCGGGATGCTGCGCTCCACGCTGCCTGCCACGTGCAGCCGTCGGCCACGCTGGACGCCGCGCAGCCCCGAGTGACCGGCCTCGTGGTCTTCCGGCAGCTCGTGCCCGGCGCCAAGCTGGAGGCCTTCTTTGACCTGGAGGGCTTCCCGGCCGAGGCCAACGGCTCCAGCCGCGCCATCCACGTGCACCAGTTCGGGGACCTGAGCCAGGGCTGCGACTCCACCGGGGCGCACTACAACCCGCTGGCCGTGCCGCACCCGCTGCACCCGGGCGACTTCGGCAACTTCGCCGTGCGCGACGGCCACCTCTGGAAGTACCGCGGCAACCTCGCCGCCTCGCTCAGCGGCCCGCACTCGATCGTGGGCCGCGCCGTGGTGGTCCACGCGGGCGAGGACGACCTGGGCCGCGGCGGCAACCAGGCCAGCGTGGAGAACGGCAACGCGGGCCGCCGGCTCGCTTGCTGCGTGGTGGGCGTGTGCGGGCCCGCGCCCTGGGCGCGCCAGGCGCAGCAGCACGCCGAGCGCAAGAAGCGGAGGCGCGAGAGCGACTGCAAGGCCGCTTGAGCGCGTCCCCCGCCCCCCGGCGGGCGCCCGAGACCCCCTCCACTCTCTGACACCCCCCCCCATGAGCCTTGAGACCCCTCTGTGCGTCCCGAGACCCTCTCCACGCCCCGACACCGATCCATGCGCCTCAGACCCCCTCCACGCCCTGACACCCATCCATGCACCTCAAACCCTCTCCACCCCCTGACAGCCCTCCGTGCGCTTCAGCCCTCCTTGCACCACAGACTCCCTCCATACCCTCACACCCCTCCATGTGTCCTGAGGCCCCATCCATGCTCCCCGAGACTCTCCCCACTTGAGTGTCTCCCTCTGCTCCTAGGCACACCTTCCAACCTGAGGTCCCCCCTCTGCCATGGCTGAGGGCTCCCTGAAAATCCCTCCATCATGAGATCTCCAACCATGTATGCTCCACCCCTCTCTATCCTGAGGGCAGCCTCTGCCTTCTTAGCCCTCCACCCCGAGTTCTGAGGACCCCCAGAGATACTGAAATGCCCCCATCTACCCTGAGGGCTTCCCAGACTCCCCGAGATCCTTTTCCATCCTGACAGCCCCACTCCCACCCCATGAGCCCTGAGATCCCTCTATGCCCTAAGGACCCAACTCCCCCGACCCCTTAGGCTCCTCCTAGGTTCTGAGACCCCTCCTGAGGTTGCCTTGCATCCCCCCTCAGTCCCCAACCATCACCTCCACACTCCACCATCATGTGCAGCCTGCAGTTGGGCGCCCCTGCCTGGCATCTTCAGCGGTTTCCCGGCCACTGTCGCCCTGCAGAGAGCTGTTCCTTTGGGGGCTGTATGACAATCTTCATGTTGCTCATTAAAAACTCAGCAATTCAGTACTGCATCAGAGCCTTGGTTAGTTTTTTGTTTGTCTGAGCTTCTCTCCCTGCCTCAGCTATTTTTTGGAAATGGCAAAGATATTTCCCAAATCCCGGCAGGACTTCTCTCCCGACTCTGCTGGCCACAATGTTCAGTCACTGGCTGTGGTGCCCTTGGGTGTGGCTCCTCAAATGGAGGGCACCAGGGTCACTCAAGGAAGTGAGAAAAACAAAAACACAGCCTCCTGGGCTGCATCCCAGAGCTGGGATGTGGGGGGAGTCTGTTTGCAACAAGTTTCCCTGGTGACTCCGGTGCTGGAACCACGGGCCTGGCCTGAGGTGAGCACCCACTCACTCGGCCCTGTGGCTGCTCACATCTGCCCCTGTGTGCAGCCTGAGGTCCATTTCCCAGAGGGCACAGACAGGGCCAGAGAAGCAATGTCACTGGGCGCATTGCAGGGAGGTCAGTGTTGGTATCTGAAGTTGTCAGCCTTCTCCACAAGCAGGATGATGCTGTTCTTGACCTCTTGACACAAAGGCAGCTGGAAGCAGTGGTGTCCCAAGGCAGGCTGATTTTGATTAAGGCTTGTGGAGGGCTCAGCCTCTCCGTCTGAAAATGGTATCTAGACACAGACTAGATCAGTCTTGCGTATTCACCTTCAGTGACTGAATGACAGTACTCATGACAACTTTCTACCCTCCTAGGGTAGACCCGCTTCCCAGCTGCGGCTTTTCCACTCTGGTTACTCAGAGGTGCCCTCCATTTCTCCCAGACTCTGATGGCAGTGAGTCTAATGGAAGCTTAATCAGAAGCCCATCCCCGGTGGTTATTTTACCTCTTAGTAGGACTAACTCATTATTTAAAATCTTTCCTTGAACCCAAGTGACAGCTGGAGAGGAAGGCCTTTGCCTGGTGACTTTGCTCCACCAACTGGTTCTCTGGTTTGAAATATTAACTTGAACTGTACAGGTCAGCACTGAAAGGGAATTAGCAAACTGAGTTGTCAAATATCCTGATCTCAAATACATGTGTCTGCCTGGCCCCACAATTAAAACTTGTGAAAACGAGGCAGCAGTTACATAGGAACACACGACAGAGAGGAATAAAATGCCAAACACCCCATCTCCAACTCTGCTGCCTGAATTATCGGTTAATTCTGGATCATCAAGGCAGGTTTGGACTTATTTTTCAGAAGGAGGCTGGTGCTTCTCATCACCGACCTTCCCTCTTAGTCCCTCCAGGCTGCTATCATCGAAGATCGCAGACTGGGGAGCTGAGAAACAACAGAGATTTATTTCCCACAGTTCTGGAGCCTGGAAGTACAAGATCATGGCACCAGCGTGGTCGGGTGAGAACCCTCTTTGGGGTTCATAGCTGGTGCCTTTTTGCTGCATCCTCACATGATTTCCATCATGTGGGGCTGGGCATCTCTCTGGAACCTCTTTTCTAAGGCACTAATCTCATCCGTGAGGGCTCCCCTCTCATGACTTTGGGACCTTCCAAAGTCTAACCTCCTCATACCATCATCTTTGGGGGTTAGGATTTCAACATATGAATTTTGGGGGGACACAAACATTCAGACCACAGCACCTTCTTTTCTTAGTTCCTCTCTTCGCTACCCTCCATCCCCCAGACTGAAGAGCTACCCACGCCCACCCTCTCCATTTCTCTTCTGTCCATTAGTGGGAATGGGATCGATAAACTATCCTATGGGGCTCCAGAGCCAAGAAACAAAGAGGAAACAATAGAAAGACAAATTATGGCTCACTGTCAGGGCAAAAGAATGCATATAGCACGGCGGGTGACAGCTCAGGCTCAGGTGGAAAGACCTGTTTGGAACCACAGCTCTACCACACTTACAAGCTGTGTGACCAGAGCAAGTCACTTCACCTCTCTGGGCCTGGGTTTTCTCATCTATAAAATAAGACTTTCAGATTGGATTGTTGTGAGGATTAAATCAAGTGTTATTCATGAGTGGTATACAGCATAGCATGAGGATCTAAGGATCTAATAAATGTCTAACTAATCACAATGGCTAAAGTGGGAAAAATAGCTACCTACTAACGGACTGGCCTACCTTGTAAGGTAGAGTCATGCAACTAGAAGGATTTGAGTTACAAAGAGGTTGCTACCTCTCAGGTTTGTAAGGATTTCTGTGCCCATTAAGCGGCTGGCTGAGATGATCTCTGTGATCCCAGATGCCGGGGGGAGGAGCCCTAAGAGCAAGGAAAGATGGTGGGCCTCAAAGGCAGGCATCTGGTCCTTGGCTCAGAACCTGATGTGTGGACCAAACCCGCCCACCGGACCTCACTTGGCCTCCGAGGCTATTTTCACTCCTCTCATCTTACAGATCTATTTTGCTAATCTCCTTATATTTGCTGTTTTGACTTCCCAGCCAGCTTGCTAATCAGTTTGCCTATTTGACTCACACGGTTTGCATTTGTCACCGAGACTTAAACACACACTTGTTTTGATTTCTTTTTGTAAAATTAGAAGCGTTTGATGTAATGACTCTACCTAGACACAGCTGGTAAAGTGAGAAGAATGCTCAAGTTTGCACAGTTTAAACACAATGTAGACAATAATTAGAAATGCTATCTTTAGATGTTTAGGATAAGCTTTTTCTCAGAATGGCAGGGAATTTTTTTCTGAGTGGGGCTTTTCAGTGCATGTATATACAGAAATACTAAAAACGTAAGAAAATAGAGCAAATCAGTGAGTGCTTTGGTCAACTTGAAAGACTGCAGGAAATAAACCGACTGATTTTAGATCTGGTGTTTTTGACTGAATGCATAAAAGCTTTACAGTCTCCATAATTTTCATGACTACCACATGATCTAATAGTTTTAGGTGACAGATTGCAACTGATAAGTTGCTTCAATATGCTAGAAGCAATGCTCAGCCTGTGCTCGGCCTGCGGCGAGGGTGGACAGGGAGAATGATGCAAATAATAAAGATAATTAATCATCTACAGCCAGAAAATTACCACATTTTTATTTCAGGTAACAAAAAGATATAGTTATGATATGCAGTGATCATAGAATCCGATAAAGCAAGATCTACAAATGAACAGAAGTTACTTCTTTCTTTAAACTACAAAATCGCAGCTGGTTTGCTGGGTTTTTTTAAGCCAATTGTTTTCAATTTAATAGGCTATCACTGGCCTCAGCTAAGATCCCAAAATATATTCCAGGGCTCACATAGATTCCAGAAAGTCAAACTTGTCAGTATGATGCAAACTTTCCTTAAGCATCCAAAAATGGTTCTCATTTAGTAAAGAGGTGGTATGAAATGTAAGGCAACACATCTTATCTATCATTTTAAATTGCCTTCATGCTGTATCAACTTGTTTTGTTTTGTTTTCGTGAGCAATCATAATATCAAGAGACAGGTCCTTCTTGTTTTTTCTGCTTCTCATTTCTAATTAGATTCACCGCTAAGCTCTCTAATCTTCAAATTTTTCTCTGTTCAGAAAGACATCTGGAAAAAGGGAATATGTTAAAGTAGTAAGTTGAGGGGACTCCTCTGGCTTTTTGATATCCCTAACTGAGTCACGTGAAGGTACCCTCAGTATTACTAAGGAGAAAGATTGTTCCAAGTGGAGGCTTCCAGAATGAAAGCAGACGGCAGAGGGAGAAGGTGCTGAAATGAAGAACTTTTTCAAAGAGAAGTAGGGGACCAAGCCATCCACAGGCTGCAGGAAAATGACAGAGCCAGGAGACAGCCCCACTTTTTGGAGAAGCAGAAAACCAAGAGGGCCAAAGCCATGCTGCAATGTCAAAGAGACAGGAAGGTGACCCCACTGAGCAAGGAGCTGGTCTTCGAAATTTCTTAAAGAAGAGATTGAACCTTTCACGTCCCATGGTGAATTGGGATGCAAATGCTCCAGTAGGAATAACACACCCCAAAATTCACTCCAACTGTGAATGACTCACGCCAGAACGCTTTTTCGGAACTTCACATCTTGATAGGTGTGTCTGAGAGTGAGGGCACGGAAGAGGAACAGAGATGGAAAACAAATTTTGCTTCCTTAAGATTGCCCACTGGAAGGAGTTCCAGCGGGAATTGAGCTGACTGCCAGCAGAGCCTCCTAGCTCCAGAGGCTTCCGGGCCGGGCGAAGAAAGGAGGAGGGGAGAGGAAGGCGGGCAGAGGAGGCATGGAAAGAGGAGGAGTTAAGGATGAGAAATACCTGGTTTACAAAAACCAATCCATTTCCCCCGGCCTTAATTAAAAGAACGACAAACACTCAGATGTAAAAATCCACACCTAAAGGCTCTCAGGTACAGAGCAATCACAAGAAATGCAGTGAGTGCAAACAAGCTTTCATTAGGAGACCTGTCAGCTCTGTTTCATTTATCCAGACTGTTCTCCATTCTGCTGGCAGCCGAGCTGGAAAAATAATGGAAGGACAGACACAGTTGAAGAGGTAAACAAAGGTGGGAACATTCCAGTGACAAAATAGAACAGGTGATAAAGAAGCCAGGGAAGGGGAGACATGAGATGGCATTTTTCTTAACAAACAACCACCTCCGCCCCTCCCCCCAACTCTAAACTCACCAGTAATGTACTATTGGCTTTTTAAGGGAAAAATAAACAAAACCAAAAAGACAATGCTGTTGGTGGCCTACTCAAATCTCTTCCCAACTCTCCTACACTTCTCAAGACCTGACTTTGTTTTGGTGTTCATCCTTTTAGAGTCTGCATGTCCAGGGATGGGGCTCCTCCCCAATTCAGAGGGTGATCTTGATGACCCTAAATCCATCACAGTAATTCCATCTCCCCTGCTAGGGATGTTTAGACATAGGCGTGTGACATGTCACATAGACATGTGATAATTCTGGCCAATGAAATATGACGAGAACTGGGTTTCTTGCTCTTAAAACACACACACACACGTACATGCACATACATACACATGGAGAAACTTCCTTCTGCCTTTGGACAGATGTGAGAACACGTGATGCCTGGAGCTGTTGCAGCTATCTTGTTAGCATGAGGGAGGAGCTGATACCAAGGTAGGCAGAGCAGAAAGACAGAAACTCAGATCCTTAATAACTTTCTTGAATGAACCAGTCCTGGAATGCCCTACTTCTCAAGTTAATGTTATGCAATAGAATTCATTTCCCTATTGTTTAAGTTTCTGAAAGTGTGAATTGGAGCTGAGTATGCTGACTGATGCAGGGTCATCTGGTGGAGGAGGGGAGAGAATGCTGCACTTGACAATGACTCTTAAAAAGACAACCCCAAGTAATTGATGAAACTCTCTTTAATATCTGTGGAACAGAAGAACCACGTTGGGCCGGGACAGCAGAGGTGGGACAGTGGCACACGTGTGTATGGGGCATTGTCAAGATTACACATGTGACAGGATCAACTCACTGCCTCCAATCCCATCGAATAACACAGAACCCTCCCAGGCTGACTGCACACGGAGTTTAGGTATCGCTCCCTATGACCTCCCCGCCCCGAACCCCAGACTCTGGGACTCATGGCAGCTTTCTTGCCCACGATGGGATGTGTCGGAGTTTATTATAAGCCCTGCTTTCCAGAAGGTGATGAATGAGCCCTAAAGATGTGCACCTGGCCGACTGCGTGTCAAAACCAGAGCTTCTGCGGGGAGAGATTTTTCTTTTTCTTATGATTGTATTAAATCTGGCTGTATTTTCCTATGCAGGAGTGCTGAACATTTGCAGACAGTTAAGGCCTAGTGTGGCAGGCAAATTATTTCTGTGGCTGCTGGCCTGTGCAAGCTTTGCAGCTGCAGAAGCAACCTCCCTAAAGGGGAAGTCGAGGGGGCGGGTGTGGGGAGAAGGGAGAGGCTGGAGCGCAGAGGGGTGAATGGGGCACTGGAGCCTGGAGGGCAGCGGTGGATGATGTGTTCAGCTCACCAGGGGCGACGGTGCCCTGACTCGGGCTTGCCTCCATCCTACTGCAGGGGTGACCTCAGGCGAGTGGGAGGAAAGCAGCCGGAGGTCCACCCAGTGTGCATCTGGCAAAGGACTGGACCTTCTTGTCTGCACTTTGCCCTCCTTCAGGGTGAGACCGCACAAAAATCTGACAGAGCTTCCACTCCGCTAGCAGAGTGATGCCAGGAGACGAAATGTGGCAGCAAAGCATCAGAGTGGGCTGGCCACCCATGTGCAGGTTTCACGCCGGGGATCACAAGCCTGGGTATAAACATTCGATTTTTAGGATGAATTTTCAACCTCTCCCACCTCAGGAGCTTCTGTTTCTCCTGCAGGAGAGTCTCTCAAAGAAGGGATTCTGGTTCTCAGGGTGCTTTGAGCTTTGGGATCTGGTATCAGGCCCTCCTGGGGAAATGAACTGAGCTCAGCTCAAAGAAAGGTCTAGCATTGGGTGAGCCTTCAGTTTCCTGCAGCACGAGATGCTGCCTAGGAAAGCAATTGTTATCGCCAAGGAAAGAACCAGGTAAGGTTGCCCACTCCCCCTTTTCCCACCCTTGGCGCTTGTACTTGGTTCCATAGTCCCCTTTCCAGGCTGCAATGAAGTTATTTTGTTTCCCTCTCTCGTTCCACTGTAGGGCCATGAGCTCTGTGTCGTGTCTTTAAAATCCCAGTACCTGGAGGCACAGAGGAGGCAGCCTCAACATTCTGTTGGAGGTGTGAAAGGTGGTACAGGAAGCTGGATTGGCCCTAAGAAGCTCTATCTTGCCCAAACCCCACATGGTCATAAAGTCCTACATGCACCACAGGTGGAAGAGGGAGCACCAGCATACCCAGGTTCTAGCACTCATCTCATCTCAGAAACGAAAATTCCAAACAGGATTGGAGTCCCCTTCCTTCTATCACTTCAGGTCAATTATCTTCCAGAATTACAGGCTAGAAAACTTGGCTCTAGCAGTCAGCAAACAGGTCTCAACAGGGGCTGTGGATTTCAAACTGGAAGTCCAATCTTCTGAGACTGCTCAACCTCCTTTCCACCTGCCAGGTGGTGCCATGACAGACAGTGCCGCTGGCAAGATGCCAACACCACCCACCCTGGGAGGTCCTACGGCCCCCAACATGATGAAGTGGAGCCAAGGGTCCTCTGGACCCATTATGCTCAATTATACCTTTCTCTCCGGCCACCTAACCATTACAAAGATGGAGACTTGATTAAAACCCCCATCCATTTCAAGCTTTTCCCATAATTTTGATCGACAACATTAAACGCTAATAGAAAAACATCTTATCTCTAATAAAATAAATGCTGACAGAAAGACGGATGCCAAAACCCAGCCATATGGCGGGCACGATCCTGTGCCTGGCCACGTTCACAGCAGTGCATCTTCGGCAGAAGGAGATGACACTGAGAAGCTTGAGGACCCGCATTTAATAAATCGAACTGTGCTGGCGTCATCAGAATATTCACAGTTTGCAACAAGATCTGTGTCTTTTCTCACTTGCAGACTTGGAGGTGTTTTAGGAGAAAGCCGCTCCAGCGAGCTGCTCTGATGCTTAATTCTTTACCGTCCCTGGTGCCTTCGACGTGGTGTCATGCCCGATCCCTCTCCCCATCATGTTTTCACCACACTCCCTGTGCCTCCACCCTCTGGGGTTTCCTTGCCGTCTTCCAGTGTGGATGCTTTGGCCGCTGGCTGGCTGGACTCAAAGGAGTCCTGGCAGGACTTGAGGCACTCTCCCTTGGAGGCCAGACCCAGTGGGGATGGCCTCATCTCCTCCCTCTGACCCTCCATGGGACTCCCCCTTTTGACCCCTTCTGGTTCTGCAGCTGCCTGCTCCTCTGTCAGTTTCATTATCTCCCTTCCAAGCCTGTTTACTTCCTCCTCAGAAGGTAACTGGGATAATGAAGGATGAAAGTGCTTGCGTTGGTTCCCGTGGCTCGGATTTGCTGGGGAGTTGACAGCGGGCCTCCCAGCATCCTCCAGCGCTGTCAACGCCTCAGCAGTGGCACAACTTTCATCTCGTTCTTGCTTCTGAATCTCCCCTGAAACAGACCAGGACAGCATCAAACCTCTGGCAGGAAGTCAGCCCTCACTTCCCCTCTCCTCCCAACCTCTGGCCCACCATCACAGGGCCTCTGAGATAGAAAAGGCTGCTGAAGGGAACACAGGACTCAAATTACAAAAGAAAGCAGCCACTCTGATGATCGCTGTGCCATTAACGGAAGGACAGGGAGCACTTGCGCCCTGTTTATAATCCATCCTTTCCTGGCGCCTGGTTATCTCCTGCTTCTCTCTCTAATGGTGCCTCCTTGTGCCCATTAAATATTTAGATTGAGGACAAAGGTTTTGTAGGTCCTGTAGCTCAGGGAACACCTGGGGCCCTTTACTAATGAAAAGAGGTACCGGCTGCCTTCAGGGTGGGAAACAGAAGGAGCAGTGAGGGAGGGATTTGGGGACCCCCACCCCCATCCTCCATCAGCACCTCCTTCTTTCATGCAGGCTGCTGATGCGTCCTCAATTTCAAATAAAACATTATATGCAAAACAGTAACTGAATGCTGTCCCTAAACCCCTTCTCTCTAGAACAGAAATTCTTGAGCCACAACTGACGGGGAATGGGAGAGAACACGGGGCCCTGAGAGCCGGCATCTAGCCCCTACTTTCCTACTCACTTGCTCTGTGATCAGGAGCACCTGTCTGCCCTCCTTTTCTCAGATACGAAATGAGGGGCAGGACTCTCTGATGTTCCTTCCAGACCTAACAAGTGATGGTGGTTCTGCACGACTGGGAAGCATGTGGGGAGCGAGCTCTTAGCACTCAGATAGTGCATTCAGTACCAGAATTGGAGGTTCCCAGAAGGCAAGATTTTCTTAGCTCTCAGGCCAGACAGTGATGAAATGTTTGGAAGAGCCTCACTGGGCTGATCTCAGCCTGGGCGGGGGTCTCCAGGAGTGAGGGGCCCAGGGGACACTTCCTGGTACCCGCAGTGGAACCAGAGCAGAACCCCATTGCAATGGGCTCACATCAGATTCGCACAGGTGTGCTTTAGGCTGAAAGCTGGAACTTGGGAGAGCTTTAGGAGGGCTAGGAAGGAAGCTGACCTGTTCTGATCATGCATTTTCCTGCCTAAAACCTTTTGCTGGAGCCTTATTGCTTTTGGGATAAATTTCAATTCCTTTCACTTGGGTCCTTCACAAGGTCCTACCTGATCTGCTCCTGCTTCATCCTGCAGCCTCATTCCCCACGTTTCCCTCACATACACATGTCCTTCTGTCCATTCGATGCTATCTTTCAGTCTCTGCATGCTCAGTGGGGTTTCTCCCCTCTCTAAGGTGAATCATACCAACCAACGCTTAATAGGTGCTTTTCTGTGCTAGGCTTGGTGCTCAGCACCTTACGTGTTTATCTTATTCTAAAATGTAAGCAGAGTCCTCACCTGACTTGTTCACAGTGCTTGCACATTCTAAGTTTTCAAGAATGTTAAAAAAAAATAGTTCCTCACTTTTCTTTCTTTTTGATGGAAGTATAACATACACAGAAGTGAGCAAATCGTTAAGTCTACAGCTCAATGAATTTTCACAAAGTGAACACACCCAAGTGACCAGAAGCCAGGACAAGAAACCTGTAAAACGCTTCCCAGTCTAGTCTCCCAGCCCTCTTCCTAGTGACTAACAAACAGCAAGCAATAGGATATATTGGAGGATATGTGGAAGCCATTTGGTGTAAACCTAATTCGGCCTGGCGTTGTTTTTCCAAAAGGGCCTGACATGGCCGTTGAGCATGCATTATATATCTGCTTTAAGCATTTGCTGTGTCCCAAAGACAAGAACAAATGGCCTAAAGATAAAGGTGCAACTTCCCCCACATTGGCATTTCCTTAACGATAACCATCTCTCCCTAGGCTAGGAACTGATTGCTGCACTCACCTGTGAGCACCCATGGTCACAAGGTCAGAACAGGTCAGCTTCCTTTCTATCCCTCCTACAGCTCTAGACAACAGACCTGCCACCCTGCTGTGTCCCCCAAGACGGCAGACCTACTACCTCCTGTGTCCATCATCGCTGTGCCAACAGAGCAGTCTCGTGACTATTGTAAAAGGGACGTTTCAATCATGTGAAACATGCTCTTTGAGGGTATATCACCACTCTGTACACCCCACTTCTTCAGTGTCCTTCCTTCCTTGGGGAAGGAAGCTGCCAAGCTAAGCTAGTCCTCAGATCTGGCTCATAACAAACTCACCCCAATTTTCATTTACAGACAGGTTATGGATTATTTTTGTCAACACCAGTCACTTCTTCTGCCAAGGGTGACCAATATCCTACTTCAGAGGCCAAAGATAAGTTTTGCCTAGTCTTTAACCTTCATATACTGGAATCGTACTGTACATGCTGGTTTGCATCTGTACTGGTTTGTGTTTATTCGATTGATCCAGGTTATTGTGTGTAGAACAGGTTCAACTGAATGCACCACCCTTTTCAACAAATATATAAGTATTGAATGAAAACAACCAATTCCCTGACAAGAAATACAAATGGGTGGCAAATATATGAAATGATTCATAACATCACTCATAATTAAAGAAATCTAAATCGCAATGAAATGCATTTTTTCATCTAATGGATTGGCCAAAATTAAAAGGCTTTATAGAGCTCAGTGTCACCGAGGATGTGGCGAAATAGGTACGATTATATATTAGGAAAGAGAATAAAAATTAGCAAGACTCTGATAGGGCATTTGGGTAATATCTATCGCAATCCTAAATGCATTCACCCTTTGACTTAGAAATTCCATTATTAGGAATCTACCTATGGCTATTAGCCCAAATATTTCAAGATGCATTATCTAGATTCTCATTACAACATTGCTTGTAATAGCAGAAACCTGCAAAGAATCGGAGTGCCCAGCCGCAGGGGGTTCTCTATACCCTTGCCGAGTGTAAAATTATTTCCGGTGGTACACGTGAAAAATTGTAGGTGGCCTCTGGGGAGCAGACTGAGGGTCAGGGCAGGAAGCCAGGTGGAGGAAGCCTTTAAATTTAATTTTATGCCTTTCCGTGCCGTTTAAATTTTTAAACATGTGCTTGTATTACTAGTTTAAAAAAATAAGATATGCAACCTTCAAGATTTTGCCACCAATTATCATCTTGTCTTTCCTTTTCTGCACTAATTTGTAGACCTAGGAGCCTACATGCTCTGCTGCCATTTCCCCGTGCTGATTCACACCTCAGATCCTCCAGTTTGCCTTGCATCCTCCCCACCAGTGAGCGCCATCACCAGATCCAATGTTCTTTTCTCAGTCCCCTCCTCCGCAACTCTGTACCGTGTGTTTCCATTGGCCACATCCTCCTCTCAAGCTCTCTCTCCCTTTGGTTTCCAGAACAACACTGTATTCTTCTGTTTCTCCTCCCATCTAGTTCTGTGAGCATGCTATATTAGTTTCTTATGGCTGCTGTAACAAGTTACTGCACATTTAGGGCTTAAAAGAACATACATTTATTCTCCTATAGTTCTGGAGGTCAGAAGTCCACAATGGGTTTCACTGGGCCATCCATGAATACATGTATTCAATAATTCAACACATTTGTATCCATGCTCTTTAGAAAACCAAAGCCATTCTCCCGTGAAGGCTCCAGGGGAGAATCTGTCCCTTGCCTCCTCCAGCTTCTGGTGGCTGCTGGCATTCCTCGGCTTGTGGCCACATCCCTCCAATCTCTGCCTCTAAGGTCCCATTGCCTTCTCTTCTATGTGTGTCAAATCTTTTGCCTCCCTCTTATAAGGATACATGTGACTGCACTTAGGACTCACCTGGATAATCCTGGATAATCTAAAAAGTTGGAATTAAAATGCAGCTTAGAATTTCTGTGACATGTAACAATATTATTATATGTGTGATCCATTTTAATTTCCATACAATGCATAAAGGTATTTATTAATAAGAATAGTACATGTTTTGAGTATCCATTTATTTAATTAAATAACTGTATGCATTTTTGAGCATTTATTTACCTGATCTAGTGTTTAAAAGTTTTAAGAAACTTAAAAATGGCTGAACCCTGGTTCTAGAAGAAATGAAATACTGGTGAGATCAGATGGACCATAAGACTGAAACTACTAAGAGGAAGAAGGGTGGAGCACAATGAAGGAAGAGAAGATGATGGACAGAAGCGATGGAGGTGATCACTGATAGACTGGAATCCCTGGGGGAGAGGACTGTGGGTCTCACCTCGGCCAGGCAGCCTTGACCGTTGTCCCCACACCCCACACCTCTAGTTCTTCTGACACAAATGTGCTTCACACATTCAAAAGAAGCCATTTTCTTTCTCGTTAGCCTTTTTGATGTCCATAGACAAAACCGCAGGGAGAGAAGTCCGATCCAATCTACTCTATACTTTCTAAAGCCTGCATTTAGTCATGGACAACAACGTATTTCTCTCCTAAGAACTCACTGACCTCGGTAAGTATTGCACCCGAGAATGAGACCATGACTTGTACTTAAAATGAAATTCATGAATGCTTAAGTGAGTGAATAAAGCAAGCCTTCATTTTAAAAATATAACTACATATTCAGGGACCAGCCCAGTGGCTCAGTGGTTAAGTGCATATGTTCCACTTCGGCAGCCCGGGGTTCACCGGTTCGGATCCCAGGTGTGGACATGGCACTGCTAGGCAAGCCATGCTATGGTAGGCGTCCCACATATAAAGTAGAGGAAGATGGGCATGGATGTTAGCTCAGGGCCAGTCTTCCTCAGCAAAAAGAGGAGGACTGGCAGCAATTAGCTCAGGGCTAATCTTCCTCAAAAACAAACAAATGAAAAAACCCACGTATTCAGATCTGTTCAGCCAGGATAAAGTAAAGATTAGTGCCCAATAGGTTTCTTTGCTTCTAGTCTCCTCCTGCTTGAATCCAACCTGTCGGGAGAGGAGCCTTCCCTAAGGCTTTGCTGCTCAAAGTGGGGCCCCTGGACCACCAGCAGCAGCATCACCTGGGAGCTTGTTAGACAAGCAGGATCTCGAGCCCTACCCCAGACCTCCTGGTTCAGAATCTGTGGTCGAACAAGATCCCAGGTGATCTGGGGTGCACACTACAATTTGAGAGGCACTGTGAGCTTGAAGCACAAACCTGACCATGCCTTTCTCCAGCTACAAAACCTTCAAAGGCTGTCACTTTCTCAGAAACAAAGCCCAAGCTCTCAGCCTGACATTGAAGGCCTTCAGTGACCCAACATCCATCGACCTTTCTACCTGACATCCCAACTCTTCTCCTTTATCCCTACACTCCAGCCACACTGAACCCTTCATGGCATCCCGGCACTGCCCCATGGGCCTCTGCTTAGGTGGTTGATTCCTCCAAACCATCATTCCTTTATATATCCAAGGACCAGCTCTATCCCCACCTCCTCCAGGAAGCCTACTGGATTAAATCCGGCCAGAACTAACCTCCTCAGGGTCCCTGTCCCCACAGGCTGTGTCTGGACCTCCAAGACAACTGAGTGCTTTTCTTTTTTTTTATGCTTAAATTGTTACTTGTATTTAGTTAGCTTATAAAAGCCACCTGAAGTATAAAATCCTACCTGATCAATTTTTTAACTGCCAATATTCAATAGTGGGGATCAATACGTAGTTTATTAAATGTTTGAATCTACGGACACATACATGAATGCAGGAATATATTTGTACATATATTTAAATACCATGCATTCATAAATAAAAGAAATCCATGAATTTATGGTATTTGTTCCACGTTGTATTCAGGTTGTTACCCTAAAAATTCTTAAAATGGCACTTTCAGGAAAAAAGAGATTTCTAACTCACACAAACATTTCGCTACATCTGAAGTAGCTCACGGAAGCGATCACGTATTTTTCACACTAACAAATGAAAATTTTTATAGTGGTTGTACGGGGGACGTGGAAAACACTGAGTCAAAATGAGCACGTTTCCAGCACAGACGAAGAACCTTTATTCAGAAGGAGTAAATTATGGCCCTTTCGACAGCAAAATTTTTCACTAACGTGAGATGAATAAACTCCTTCTGGAAATTACTCTTATGAAATTACATCTTCCAGGACACTTAATAGTATATTCTGGTGCCCCTGAAAAATTAATTAACCTTACTCGTAACAACCTAACCCCTAAACCATCTGCAGTGTTTTTACCACGGGTCAGGTTAGTCTTCTCTACCTTAATTTACATCTAAGTGAGGGTGGTCGAAATTACAGTGGGGCCTTGGGTCGCTGGTACTTTGCCTCGTGCCATTTCTTTAGATGACATTCCCCTCCTGTCCAAATGTATGAATCTTTCTTAAATGGCAAATCACTGAGATCAGCAGGGCGAACTTTTCACCTTTTTAGGGGGCAGGGGGAAGGGAGAAACACTGCCATCATCATTACAGGTCAAAACACAGCTGCCCTAAGGGGATGAAGAAGGCTGTAATTCTATTGTTCGGTCCTATCAGGGATTTTTTCTGAGAAAGGATAGATTTTCAGAGCCTCAGGACCAGAAAGATACAGGGCCCCCGGCTCCCGGATTGGTTTATGGGCCAACAGCAGGATCTACCAATCCACTCCTCCCTTTTGTTTATCCGAAAGATATCTAAAAAGCATACTCTATCATTATCAGGAGACAAAGAGAAGTTAGTGAAAATGTCACAACTGCTGAGCTATAAGTAGGACCTTTGGTTACTCGCCCGTGAGACCAAAATCTTCCTTTAACTCTGTGATTCCGGAACATTAACTCTTAAGCTGTGGGAGTTGTATTTTCCTTTTGAGAACAGACACAAAGCATTGCCATTTCCATAAAAGAAAGATTTCTGAACTAGCTCAGAATAGGAAAATATTATTACAAATAAATAGTAATTATTCTGTGCTGTTTTAGCAAACAGAATTAGAATCATTAATACTTATTAATAACAATACACATATCAATAATGATGAGGCAATTAACTGATACAAACATATTATCACACAAATAGTGCGGAAAGAGAAAACGTTTTCTCCAGAAGATGAAGAAACAGTAGTTCTTTGTAGGGAAGATTGCTAGTCCCCTAAAAATGTGTTTCCCCTCATTGGCCCAAAGAGGACATTTGTCTTCTTTTGTTCACTGCTCTCTGATGGGCTTTGTCCCGCCGAGTATGAGCTGCTTTCAGTTGGAATTAATCAGAGATGCAGCGGTGATGAGGCCAGCCCAGACGCTGACAGATGCTACAGAAATGCTTCCTTGTTGCCACCCGCGCTGGCAAAGGACAGGGTTGGAACAATGAGAGCTGATGATGGAACTCTGGAAACTATCATTTGAATCAGGCCATTACTTATGCCATCCTTGTGAAAATCAAGCAAGGCTCTTGCTCTATTTCAGTTTAACAGGCCCAGACCCACCCGTGGGCTCAGTGGGCCCAGAGCAGACAGAAGACTTTGGATTTCCACCTGGATACTGGATGCCAGCATGGGATGACCACCAGCCACGACACGTTCCAGAGTACACAGTGAGACATGGAGTGTTACAGCCAGCCTTGCAGATGGCCACATGCTGCTAGTTGGAATGACCCTGCCTTGCCTCCTGGCCAGTGTGGAACCTACCCACGTCAGGAGCTCTCTCAAGGCATTCCCCCTACATGTGCTTGGGGAACCTCTCTGTTGAAATCCCAGATCTGTCCTGGCTTCTGTTCTTACCATTCCACGTACTATTATGAGTGACTTGGACAGGCTTCAAAACACAGCTGTGCAGATGCGTGAGTGAGCCCTGCCAGGCCAAGCTTAATTAGCAGAACCACCCATCTGACCCAAAGACTCAGGATAAATAATACATAGTTGTTGCTTAAAGCTCTAAGTTTGGGGTGGCTTGTTACACAATAATAGCTAATTGACCCAACTGGTTAGTACGGTTTGATAAAAGCACAGTTTTTATGTCAGATAATCATAAGGTTAGACAGAGAGGCCAGGTCGTGCTGCAGAGTTGTGACTTTAAGTGGAAGACAGTTGGAAGCCACTCGAGATTTTTGAGCAGGATACAAACACGATGGAAAGCAGTGCTGTAGAGGCTTCATCCTACAACAGCAGGATAAAGATGGGAATGAAAGAGGGAGGGTCTGGGAGGCAGGAAAACTAGGGCAGAAGCTCTGCTGATGAGGTGAAGAGGGCCCGAACCAAGCCAGAGGTGGGAGGAATGGAGGGGCGAGAAACTCTGAAGGAAGAGTTTGGCTACAGCACAGGCATACATGAGGAAGGAAAGTTGACAGTAGTCAGTGATGACTCCAAGGTTTTAAGTCTGGATACCTGAGAGGGTAACCAAAAAGGAGGAAGACTTGGTGATGTCATACTGGAGAAGTCCATAGAATATCTAAGAGGGAAAGTTTGGGCTTTGGGAAATGTGGGACTGTAACTCTGCAGAAGGACCCAGTGCCTGGGGGCATATTCTGAGAATATTTTCACAGAGGTCATGGTTGAAGGCATAACTCTGAGCCAGAAAAGATGAAGAAGAAATGTAGATGTTTAGGGAAAGAAACTTGACACTCGCATGCTCAGTGTATTACTTATCTACTGCTGTGTAACAAGTTACCTCAAAACTTAGCAGCTTAAGACTCAGGAGCCTGGGAGCAGTTTATCTGGGTGGTTCTGGCTAACGGTCTCTCATGAAGTTGTAGTCAAAATGTTGACCAGGGCTGTTGTCTTGATTAGGGCTGGAGAATCTGCTTCCAAGATGGCGCCCTCACATGGCTGAGGACTGCAGGCCTCAGTTCCACGCCATGAATAGCTTGTAGGGCTGCTTGAATATCCTCATGGCCTGTCAGCCAGCTTCCTCCAGAGGGAATGATCCAAGACAGAGACAGACGGGCAGACACCAAGTGTCTTTTATGACCTAGCCTTAGAAGTCACACACCATCACTTCTACTGTAGTCTACAAGCCACACAGACCAACCCTGATACAATGTGGGGTTGGATTACACAAGGGCATGAGTACCAGGAGGTGGGGATCACTTGGGGCCATTTTGAAAGCTGGCCACTGTACTGGGGATGGAGGAAGAAGACAAACAAAGCTTAGAAGGATGTGAAGGATAGTTTAGCTGGGGAAACAAGACTGCCGCGTGGGGAGAGGTCTGGCTCTCACACCCGTTGGCTCATCTGCCGCCCTAAATGAGCCTCCAATCCCTTTCACAACACCCTGCCTGCAGAAAGTGTGCCTGGCAGAGGAGAAGCTTTTTTTCTCCATTCAACTGACTTTCAGACCACTTGCCACGTGTCAGGCAATGTGCCAAGATTTCCCTGAGGTCGGCACCATCATCTCACCATTGTACAGGTAAGGAAACTAGGCTGAGGTTACTAGTCTGTGTTCTCACAGCCAATACAACATGAGGCTGGAATAGGAACCCAAGCTCCGGAGCCCCCTTAGCCTCTGTGACAGGAGTGCAGGGGCCGCGTTCTTCTGCCGGATGCTCCGAACAAGACAAACCCATGCAAGCAACAAGAAAAAACGCAAGGAATGACCCAACAGTGCCACAGAAGGTGCGGGAAGGGGAGGGGCTGATGTCTACGGAGCCCTCCTCCGTTGCCAGGCCAGGCCGGGCTGGCAGAGAAAACGAGGTGTGCTTACCATCCTTGGGATTTGCTTTGTTCTCAGCGGGCTGCTCAACAAACTTCAGCAGTGGGGATCTTGACCTCTGCACGGTGGGAAGAGTGGGGTCGCTGAAGAGGATGGTGTCCTTGCCCCCTGCCATGGAAAAGGGGACAATGGATGTATCACGTCACCAGCGGAGTCGTGGTTGCAGTGACCCCCACACAATGGACTGGCTGTTTGGGTGAACAAGGCATCTTCTTCAATCCTAGGTAACCTGCGGAAGGGAAATGCCCAGCAGGTCCTTTTTGTAGTGTGAAGACAGCACACTGAGGTCCAGGGCCAGCTGTCTACGAGTCCTGATGAGTCTGCTCAGGACACGGCTGCCCACAAACGCCACCATTAAGGGACAGCCTGTTATGCCAGCCAAAAACTGAGTGGCTTTGATCTGGGTGAGACAAGAACAATAAAAACCACAGCAGAGTGTTTAGGAGTGCAGGCTTTGGAGCCACACTATGGTGTTTGTGTTCTGGACTCCACTACTTGCTAGCGGGGTGGCCTCAGACAAGTCACTTAACCTCTCTGAGCCTCAGAACCCTCATCTCTAAAATGAGGACAAACAACCGCACCCACCTCACTGGGTGGTTTTCATGAACTGATGCACATAAGGGCTTAGCTGTTTAGTCAGCACTCTGTTGTCTATAGAAATGATTACAGTGTAGATAGCTCTGCTGTACACAGTATATCTGATTTAATGCAATTTGGTCATCTAGATTGAATAATTCTGTCATAAGGCAGATAGTGTCAGGTATCCCAAATTATCACAGTTATATTTCACTTAGAATATACAGTCCCATACCAGCCAAACCCTTTTATCTATTCCTACGGACTCCCTAGGTGGATAGAGAAAGTCTGAGGCAAAGAGGAGGAGGAAAGGAAAACCATTACAACTCTATTTTTGAGGCCGTGGCGAGTTCCGGAGGTGAGGAGCAGGAAAGTGTGGCTTTGCAATACGAGCATGAGGAACACAGACACACAGACGCACGACACGTAGATGAAAGTGAAGCTGCCCCAGTGAGCAGGAGAGCCCCACAGGCAGGACTGGATCCCAAACTTCTGTCCATGGGGCCTTGGGGTTCTCTCGGTGAGAACCACCATGTCAACAACAAAATTCCCAGGGGCCGTGGGCCCAGCCTACACTCCAGCCTTAGGTTCTAAAGTCAAGTCACTAAGTCTGTGCAGCTCAGGTCACAGGCTCTAAAGTTCTGCGGTTTCACTCAGTTTCAGGTTGGGCAGAGCACAGAATGCGTATTTGTCCAGATGTCCACTCCTTTGGAGAACCAGGTGACCCTTGGACTGTACCTCTGAGCCCTCTGTTTATAATACTGTCTTCCCACTGGGGCATGTCTTTTTTTTTTTTTTTTTTAAAGATTTTATTGTTTTCCTTTTTCTCCCCAAAGCCCCCCGGTACATAGTTGTATATTCTTCATTGTGGGTCCTTCTAGTTGTGGCATGTGGGACGCTGCCTCAGCGTGGTTTGATGAGCAGTGCCATGTCCACGCCCAGGATTCGAACCGACGAAACACTGGGCCGCCTGCGGCGGAGTGCACGAACTTAACCACTCGGCCACGGGGCCAGCCCCCAGGGCATGTCTTTTTAACTTGATTTCCAAGAGTGTATCAAGAGTTCAGCATGTGGTAGATGCTTCATAAACATCTGATGAACATCTGACTAAATGGCCGGCACTACTGGGAATCCCGGCGCCGTGGTGGGCACGGCGCTGGCTGCTGCCTCAGGCAGAGGGTGTGTGTTGTGAGCAGCCACAGCACTCTGGCTTCTCTGCTATCTGAGGGTCATCCCAGAAGGAGAGAAATCTGCTCGGAGCTGAGGCAGGAGTTCTCCACCAGCACAGCTATTGTCTCGTGGGGACAAATCCAGAAATCTTCAGGGCTATAGTCTGGAGACGTTTCCCAATGAGAACTGTTGACCTACAGGTTGGGGTATTGTTAAGAGGCTCTCCGAATGCAGTCAGTGCCATCCCGTCTCCCTTTGTACTGCAAAGATATAATCTGGAAACATCTCGGGGGCTTAACGGTTACCAGGAGCAGAGAGCTGATGCCTCAGAGTGGGCTTCTCCTGCTTCTCTGCACCAAGGCAACAGCTCCCGTTCTCAAGGCAGGGACAGGACTGCATTTCATGACCCATCTTTCTCTGGCAGGTAGCAGCTCTCCAGCCTTCAGAGGACTCAGTAAGGACACTCTGCCCCTCAGTGTCACACCCAGCCTTCCAAGTCCCCTCCGCCCCGTGCATGGCCAAAGAATCAGAATTACGGGCAGAGCTGGGAGCTGGCTGCAGCCCAGTGACTAAGGCAGCCTGAGGGAGTTCCTCAGCCCTTCTCGTCACGAGGAGTTCTTTAAGGCCAAACGTCTCCGTGACCCTCTCCCACCACATGGCATCATCCACTCCACAACGCCTCGTCACTAACGCTGGTCCCAGCAACATTACACATCTCCAAGAACCTGAGCAACAAGCACGAAGAGTAGGGAAATAGAAGCCACCACTCATCCACGACCAATCAAGGTGGGAGTTGGGGAGAAGATAAATGCCTCCTGAAACTTCTGCCTGGAGAGATCATTTCCTAATCTTAAGATAAAATGCCAAGATTTGGTCATTCTTGCAAAATAGTTGAAGGATCAAAGACCTTCTTTGAAGGCTCTTCGTTCTATTGTTTCTGACTCAGTTCAGATTCCATCTCTGCTGACTCACTTCAGCTCTAATCCGAGGTCTGCTGTTTCACAGTTTCATTTCGGTTCTGAGGACTGGCAGATGAGCAGGGGCCAGAGAGCGCTCCACAAACCAGAGTCAAACCACAACTAACGAGAAGGTCACACAGGCCCTTCCGTTCATCTGGTGTCTGAGTTTCTGGAAGCCCTCCTGACTCCTCGTAACACAACATCCCTCATCCTCTTCTCCAAAATGGACCAAGTACTTTCAAAATGCACATTTTCCTCCCAGGAGGATGCTTGAGTAGAGAAGAGAGAATTAAAATGAAAAGCTCAAAGAGCAAGGCTCTGCTCTTGCCAGGTTTTTTTTCTGGCTTTCAGTGTTTCTTTTTAGTTCATGAGCACATCCAGGAAATGTCCCCTCAGAGCCCCTCAAGCAGCATTCCCCCCACAGAGGCCGGCAAAGGGCTGGGAGAATGAGGCCGCCAGGTAGGGCGCTGGGCAGGGAGGAGGGGCAGTCCTTCCTGAGGGGCGTGGTCAGCCAGGCCACCCTCTGGCTTCCTCCCAAGAGCCCCATACTTTTCCCACCTCTCGGGGCCTGATGAAACAGTTTGGAATATGCTTTGCTATCCAAATGATTTCTTCATGCAGGCTGTGACATTGCCAAACTTGTCTACTTCCCAGCGAGATCACAAATTTGCCCCAACTCTATCAAACAACAGCAAGAGCTGTATATTGTTGGCTGAGAGTGAGGAGGGAGGCAGAAGAAAGTCGAAGAAAAGTCATAGCACGTTCAAAGTCCAACAGCAATTCTGCCTTGTGCTAATGAGGAGTAGGCTCCTTAACCATTGTCCTCTAGAGTCTCAGAAGAGATTGTTCTGGCTTCTGAATTCCTCTCCAATCCGGCTCGCTTTGAGAACCAGTCCTCAGCAGATCTGGTTTAGCATAGCCCTCTCTTCTCTGAGCTATAGCTCCCCAGTGCAGGTGGATCACTGAAACGAACATCTGAACACCTGCATTCTCACATCAGCCTCTGTGGCCTTAGGTATCAGCTAAGTTCCTGGCCTCTGGGTTCTTATCTAAAATGAGGAGATCCGACTAGATGAGGAAAGGGGGAAAATATTTTCTCTCACATGTCAACTCTGACCAGGAGGTGCCTTCCTGGAAAGCCAACGTGGAAGACTGTTCTGACGGCCACATCTGAGATCAGCAAGGATGAGCGATGTGATTGATTAGCAATGTCTGCCACTGGCATGGGAATGGGTGTTGTGCAATATACAGCAAGTATTTGGTGGCCTTGAACGTTTTGCTCTCAACTGTGCTTCTAGGTCTAGCATTCGATGACTCTTCACATTATTCCCTCACAGACTAACATCTTTATCACTCAGCACTTAATTATATATCATTTTGTGCTTTCCTGTTGTCTGCTTGATGTCTTTTCATCTTGCTTCCCTAATGCGGCTGCGGATTCTTAGAGGGGGTGAGTCCTGGGACAGAAGTGAATTCATAAAGTTGGTGCTCAAAAAGGTGTCAACACACTGATGGACTGACTTATTGGAAGAGACACTGATCCTTTCAAGATGCTGATAAATAAGAGAGAGCTGGCAGTTCTCCGAAACCACTGGGACGCAGCTCCCTTCAGTTGGCTAAAATACTATGATTTGGCTTCTACTTGGAGAGAGAAAGAGGGAGAGGAGGAAAAAGGAGAAGAGGAAGAGGAAGGGAGGGAGGAAGGCAGGGAAGAAAGGAGAGAGGAAGGAAGGAGAAAAGAACATACCTGCTCTTGCTCCCCTATTCGGTAGGTTAAATGGAGACCATAAAACAAGGAGCAGACAGAAGGAACTGGTCTGATTCGCACCGGAAGGGGCCCCTCCCCCACACTCTCGCCATGGTTTGGAAATGACCATAAGGCGATACCTCACTGTAACATCCTTCAATACTGCACCAGGGGGGTGCGACTGCCCACACAGAAACTGCATCAGATCTGGGGAATTGCCACTCTTTCTCCTGTCCTCCCACTTTGTATCTATGTGGACGCCAGAGATTAAAACAAACACAGCCTTGGCATAAAATCCAGTCAGCTGGGTCCCTCAAAGCTAATTTTACCATTTAATATTTGCTTTGTACTAATTGAATTCTCTATTTCAATTGACTGTTCTAATCAGAAATGTGCAAGGATACATAGAGAATGCATTTCTATTTATTTACATGCAGGGATGATATTAATGCACCGCTAATATTAGTCACAAACACAGATATTTCAAACAGAACATACTCCCGAATCCTACTGAAACATTGTAGCTCAGGCCTTCAGGCAGCAAAAAGAAGGAAAGAAACAATTGTTATTGCATAATAGCCATTCTAACTTAGAGCAAACAACATCAGAGAAAGAAAATTCTCAACATTCCTCCACTTACTCAACTTCCATCTTTTTACATAAGTTGTAGAAATAAAACATTGTGAAATTTCACCAAGTCATTCGGAGATAAAAAAAAAAAAAATCAAAACTCCAGTACATGCACAGAAATAGCAATCTGACTGCACAAATAAATGATAAATTTGCCTGACGGTGTTGAAATTCAATGCAATAAAAGAAAGGCTTTCAAAGAAGATAAGGTTTTAACCGCATCAAAAGGTTCTTGTGCAAAATGGATCATTCAAATCCCCAGGATGGCACTTGCCACTAATTAGTTCTGTTAGGTCTTTTGACATCAAGTTCAAGGGATCTCTGCTAAAAATTCCAATTTATAAAACACTCTTCCAGGCACCCGAAGGCGGCTATTCAGATTTACATTAAGAAAATGTGTTGTTGTTGTCTACATCCCTGTGGCAATTTTCATTTCTCGTACATTACAGGGAAGCAACCGATATGATTCAAGGGTAGAGGAGACTCGTTCTGCAGAAAGGTTAAGTAACTAAAAATATATGTACAACTTGCTTCCAGGGAAAGAGGAGGTGGTGAAAATGATAAATACAAGTTTCTGGAGAGTGGAGAGAAAAAGGGGAAGAGCTGATGGGGGTCTCAGGAAGGGGGTATTTTACCAAGACAAATGGGATACAAAGAGCTAATTAAAGTGAAACATCAGAGTTTCCTCACACCATGTACAACTGGGAAAAAAAATCTCCACAGGAAATTCTGATTTTCAAGCTACATAAAAAATGGGACGAGGGCCGGGGGCTGGCCTGGTGGCACAGCAGTTAAGTGTGCACATTCTGCTCTGAGGGCCCAGGATTCGCCGGTTTGGATCCTGGGTGCAGACATGGCACCGCTCGGCAAGCCACGCTGTGGCAGGCGTCCCATATATAAAAACAGTACAGGAAGATGGGCACGGATGTTAGCTCAGGACCAGTCTTCCTCAGCAAAAAAGAGGAGGATTGGCAGCAGATGTTAGCTCAGGGCTAATCGTTCTCAAAAAACAAAAACAAAAACAAAAACAAAAAATGGGATGGGGCTGGCCCCAGGGCTGAGTGGTCAAGTTTGCACGCTCTGCTTCAGCGGTCCAGGGCTTCGCCGGTTCGGATCCTGGGCGCAGACCTAGCACCGCTCATCAACCCATGCTGAGCTGGAGTCCCACATAGCAGAACCAGAAGGACCTATGACTAGATTCTACAACTATGTACCAGGGGGCTTTGGGGAAAAGAAAAAATAAATAGGATGGGGCAAGAGAGAACAAGGAGGTTTTAAAGTGCATTTGGGTTAGAACAATTGCTTTTTTCTTATATTCATTTTTAGAACTGATGATTAAATAGAACAAATCTTTGTAGGTTCATACATTCATTTTCGTGATTGGTGATTAAACTGAACAAATCTTTGTACAACCATGTGCTGCATAACAACATTTCGGTCACCAACAGACCGCACAGACAACCGTGGTCCCATAAGATTAGCACCCTATAGCCCAGGAGTGTAGTAGACTAGACCACACACATTTGTGTAAGTGCACTCTGTGATGTTCACACAACAACAAAACCGCCTAACAATGCATCTCTCAGAATGTGTCCCCATTGTTAAGCAACACATGACTGTACATTCTTACATTCATTTTTAGGGGTGATGATTAAATTGAACAAACCGTTATAAGACACCTATGAGTAAAAAAAAGAAATGATTTACTATATTCACAAAAGTTAAAAAAAATACATATACAGACACAAACAATGACAATTTCAGAATTTAGGTTAGCAAAACTTCACAGTTCCACTGATGAAAACCTGCCTATTTATTGTATTTTTCTGATTTCCTTCCAAAATGATGGTTTCTAAGTTTAAAACACTTATAGATTTCTCAACAATGATCTTCAGATAAAAAGACATTAAAAAGGCAGAATCTTTGGAAATTATGTGAGAGCTTCCTTTTTTAAAACAGAAAATGATTTTCATGAAGTCTGCTTACCCGGAAGACTCCACAAACCAGAAACTTCCAGAGTCCTTAATTTTTTCTCTAGTTCAGCCACTCGATTCCCTAGGATTCTGGAAAAGGGGAGAAAATGACAGCAGACAGATTAACGAGCACTTGTCAGCATCAGGGCTGCGAGCAGGCTACTAGGAAAACCCACTTGTGACCTAACAGAGAGAAAATGTTTTGAGATTTAAGATATATGCTAAAAATGGAGTGTGTGTGTGAATAATAATATAATTACATATATATACACACACACATATACTCTATTGAAAATACATACGAAAATATAAAGTGAATAATTAAAAAAAAATACTAAAATGTTACCATTCAAGTGAACCCTCTCCCACAAAGGTAGTCCCCCTGGGGAGCGAAACAATTCATCCACCATGGCCCAAACGTCTTACAGAATATCTATTTGGGAATTGCTCATTGCTAAAGATGACAATTAATTTTGAATACCCTTAGTAGTACCACATCTTGATTCTTTGAGCGTAGATCTGAGTTTTGGACACAACCAAGTCTAAAAAATAAGATGGGTGACCGTGCTGGGCAATGTTGCGTTGAGTTAATAACATAGCAAGATCTGCCTTCTCAGACCTAACCCATGTGTCACTGACTGATGTCCACATCCTTGATATCTAGCATAATGCCTGGTAGATGGTAGGTGTTTCAATAAGTATATTTGATTAAATAAATTCTTTCCTTTTTCCATGGCTTACAATTATCTACGAAGAGAATTAAAAAAACAGGCATTTCAAAAGAACTTTCACTAATTGCAGGATCACTCCAGTAACTATACCGCTTTCCAAGGTGACCATTCTGACTCTCTGTGACACAGAAGTTCTGGAATGAGCATTTGAAAAGATTATACTGTTTACTTGGAAGCCAAACGTTATCTATATGCCTGGAAAGACATAAATATGGGCATATATTTCCCCTCCTTCACTCTACAAAAAATTAAATCTAGTTGAGAAATGATTTGATAGTCATCGAAAACTTCAATCACTTTCTGTTGGCCTGGAAATTGAAAAATCAGTCTTTATATTATTTGGGGGATTTTCTTGGCACTGCTGTGCTAAAATGATGTGGAAATCACCTTAATAGCAAAGTTTCCATTCCTTTCAGCAGAAGTCAGAACGCCAGAATTGTTCTCTTACCTCGCTTTATATTCCAGAGATAGCTGCACACGCCCACAGACATACAGACATGAATATGTATATATCTGCACATATATATATGGCTTCGGATTCCTCCTTTTTTACCTGAATTGACTCGCAGTATCTTAATTAATATTCCCTTTGAGTTCACAGAAAACTCTTTGACGTTACTATATGTGGTTTTCTTCATCTAGGTACTTAGAGCTTTTCTTTTCTTCCTTTCCTTAAGTCTTAAATTCTGCATAGTCTTTATCAATTACTTTCAATTTTCACTCCATTTGTTGGGTCTATTCTGCTTTCACATCTCTGACCCTCCAATAAACACCATTCTTCGTAATCTCACTTTCAATATTTTGCTCAGACCTCCTGATCCAAGCTCCCTTTTCACCAGCTGATGGGTTTGAGATGCAATCACAACAGTGTTCAAGTTGATGCCTGTTTCTTAATGAGATCAGATCATCTGTGTGTGGCTGCCTCTTCGAAACAAAAGATAAGGCTTAACTCTTCTGTGGATGCTGAAGGATGCCGTCAGGGCGACGTCCAAAGGCGTGGTGAAGAGACGTTTGGTCGTACTTTTTCTGATGCTCCCGGATAATACAGCCCTGTCTCCCAGAAATGGACCGAGGTGAATTTGCTGGTGTCCCATCACTCTACTTTGAGGGACCCCTGCCTAAGTTTGTCAGTGGTGACTGCTTTCTTCTTTGGCCGGACAGGCATTGGATGCAGGACTGAAGGTAGTAAAATGGACGCAGCAGAAGTTGTGGTGGTAGTAACAGTAGCAATAACAACAGCACGATACTACTGTTAAAACAAACAGCAACTGAGCTTTCCTGAGTGCTGGGTATTAGTCAGAGCCCATGCTGAACACCCACCACACCTGCATCATCTCACATGACCTGACAAAAACCCTGCAGTGTACACTGGATTATTATCCTCCTTTTTCACATGTGGACCCTAAGGAACAGAGAGGTTAAGTAACTTGTCCAAGGACACACAGTCATCTCAAAGTTGTGTCTTTTCTCAACCACCAGTTCTCTCACCCACGACCTACTCTTTCCATCAGGAAACAGAGGCATGGAGGTTAGTTAACTTGACCAAAACTGCAAGCAGGATTCAGCTGGTGATGACTGTGAATTTGAACCTATACTTCAGTTTGCCTCTGAAGTGCACGCTCTTAACCAACACCCCATAATAACACTTTAAAACAAGCATTCTCATATCTGGAGCAAGTACCCTTTAAAAATTGTTCATAATTGAAATATGGATGCAGCCACAGCTGATTTGCAAAATACAACCCAAGATGCTTCAAATGACAAAGAGGGACCTCCTGATAAGCTTCACACTGAACAATATGGTGGGTGGCCCACTGAACGTGGAGTCATGTGGCCCAGGGAGAGAAGAGGGCTATTTGAGTCTTAATAGCTGGCAGTATTCATAGAGCGAGACGGGAGTAGTAGGAACAGAGTCCGTTCAATTCAGCTTGACCACTTCAACAAACGATTATTGAGGCTACAGGGGATAATGAAGGGAAGCAGACCCTGTCCCTGTATGTGAGGGACTAAAAGTCTGGTGGGAGACAGACAGACAGATGGGTACGCGCGCACACACACGTTCAGTACCTGTGGAACGCTTTAGTAATGGTTGATCTTTATTAATCGCTTGTTCCAGACCAGGTCTTACTCTAAGCACTGCACAGATATTATTTCCCTCAGTCCCTCACAACAATCAATGAGGCAGCTCTTATTATCCTTGTTTCATGGATGAGGGAACTGAGACTCAGAGAGGTCAAGCTGACTTGCCAGGGTGACACAGCTGGCAAGCAGAGGGGCCAGAATCAAAACCAGGGCCTGGAAACACACAAGTCCTTCAGTAGAAGACAGTAGAATAGAAGTGAAGAGAAAATGGAGGATGAACCCAGAGGGGTTTCCACGGACCCTGATTATGAATGATCTTGTTGTCATGTTGGGAATGTTCAGACTTTATACGTTGGCAGTGGGGAACTACTGAAGGGTTTTCAGCAAAGGAGCAGCAGAATGAAGTGTAGAAAAAGTATTCTTGATGCAGAGTTGAGGGTGGACGAGAACGAGTGTGAGAGGAAGCAGAAAAGACCAGTTAGAAGGTTATTGTCCAGGGCAGGGATGTGGTGGCCAGACTCAGCCAGTGGGGTGCACGGAAGTGAAGGGACGGGCAATAATGAGGCGGTAGGGAGGTGTGGGAGGTGCCTACAGGGTATCCACATAGACAGCTGGACCTATGGGAGGAAGGAAAGATGTGGGAGTGCAGAGACCGGAGTGTGGTGTGGGCTGGGAGCTGGGCCCCCTCCCCAGCAGAGTGAGCAGTCAGAGGAGCAAGGACTAGAGTTCCTCCTCTGTAAGGCAAGAAAGGGCTGGAGGAGCACAGCTGGAGACAGAGGAGGAGAGCGAGGCAATGTGGGGCCTGGAAGTCGAGGAGAGACAGAGTTCTGGGTGGGACCACATGGGCAGTATTGTATTATTCTAGAAAGTGGTCACACAGGATGAAAAAGGCCACTTAGAAGACATGCCTGACCCTTGGGAGAGATGTTTCAGGATGGTGGAAGGGATGAAATCCAGAATCCCAGTGACAGGGTGGAGAAAAGCAGACTGTGAGGAAGCTGAGGCAGTGAGTACAGATGACCTGAGCTACCTGAAGAAAGCAGTTCCACGGGGAATTGAAGGAGACAGCGAGGGCAGTAGCTTGAGGCATAAACAGCCATGAGAGATGATTTTCTTTCTTTTCCTTTTTTTTGTAGGATGGGGGAGATTTTGAAATAAAGTTTTTATTTAGCTCCGGTGTGTTTTTGGAAAGGGGAGGTTTCAGCATATGTCTACCTAGTTGTCTAGAAAAATCCTCAAGATGCCAGGCTTCTACATAGATTTTCAGTAGTAGTTTCTGATAATAATGACGTCATAGGGGATCTGCAAAGACTGAACTAACTCAGGAACTGGGCACCCCAGGAAGGGTAGCGAAAGGCAAATACGTCCTCGTGTGTTGGCCACCACCACCACTGCCCGGCCACTGGCGAAGTGATGGCTTGTTGGGCAGAACTGGAGACAGAAACGTGGTGCTCAGTGAAACAGCACTTTAACACCTGCCTCTTCCATCCAAGCTTTGCCACCTGTTTATAGGACAAACGAACCTCCTCCCTTCTTTAGCAATACCACACAACTGCCGACTCTTCGGCTACAAGTACCTCAAGCAAAATGCCTACACACTGAACCCCCTCTGAAAATGTAAAGTCCTAGGTTGATTCTCAGTCCTTCAAGATGGCTCCCATTGGGCCTTCTCAACCGGCAGTACCCGCCAGGCAGTGGAAGACCAGTAGGGGGAGCACACGCTTACAGAACAGAACGCCTTCATTTCTACTCGCAACGCTCCACCCAAACAAAGCTCTTTTATTATTTTAGTTATAAAAGCTAAATTACAAGGGATAACAGCAAGTAGACCAAAGTTAAATTCTAGTCTTAGCCCCCACTCCACGTGTTGTGCAGTTAGTTTCTTTACATGCCACTAAATAAAACATTTATTGAAAGGATGAAACTTAAGACCTTCTAAGTATTAAAAATGGTACATTAGGTACTTTATGCACTGATAGGAAGCACTCTTCAAGATCTATTGTTACGGGGGAAGAACACAAGGTGTAGAACAATTTAAAAATCTATGTTTTTGGTGAATACTAGCTACTATTTGTGAGAAAAAAAGAGTATCAACATCTATATCTATATAAATATATGTATTTATGTGTCTGCATAAATGCATTGTGCATTTGCTTCCATATCCATCCTTGGGAAGGACACATAAGAAATGAATGGTGGTTTATTCTACAAAGGGGAACTGGGTGGCTGGGAGATAGTAGTAGTTTGGAGATATATTGTTGTTTAATCTTTTAAAATTTGAACCATGAGATGGTTCAAAATAATAGTTAAAAATGAAAAGGTGCATTAAAACAAAAATAAACCAGGCAAAATGAAAATGTCTTTCTCAACAGAGGGTAAGAGCGCATGGAACCTGGGATGTGTGTGGATGCAGGGGGTAAGGTAGGAATGCACTAGAAAATCACTCTGTCACAGTGCGAGCGTCAGGCCAACAGCTTGGGGATGCTGAGTTCAGCAGGCAGTGGGACGCAGCCCGGCTGTTCGGTGCAGGCCCGGGACGTGATCAGAACTGTAGCTGGCAGGTGGGCGTGAGAGTGCCCGGGTAGGTGGTGGAGAAGGTGGGGCTGGGGTCAGAGGACGGAGGATTGATGGAAGGGTCTTGCCATGGAAGAAGTGATGGTCTGGTGGGAAGAAGGCAGAAAGGGCAGGTAGGAGACGTAACTGAGGGCCCACAGCAAGCGCTCAGGAAACATCTACTGAATAAATGAGTGCATGAAAACCACAAGGCTTAATGACCATTGGGACGTGAGTATTAGGGAACAGGAACAAAGGGTTAGAAGATGATTCAGTCACTCATTCATCAAATAATCACGAGCGTCCACTGTGGGCCCAAACCACACTCCTAAACCTGCATTCTCAACAAGCACCCCCTCCACATGACTCTGATATCGATGCTCCCAGAACACACTTTGAGAGGGAGTCTGCTCAAGAAGTAGAGGTGGCCGCCTGTCTACAAAGCTCTGAGGTGAGTGGAATTCACAGGAAGATGCAGAGTCGAGCAAGGGCTTGGGGGTTCAGGAAGATCTGTGAGGTTTCTGGGGGGTGAGGCAGAGGCCAGAGAAAGGGAAGAGGCTGAAGAGGTTGAAAGAGGAGGTCACGGGGCAGCCAGGTCCCAGAAGAGGGAAGATGGTGTGGACCAACAGGACGCTGGGTGGGTGTGTTTCCCGGAGATGGGAGGGAGAGAGGGAGAGACACCGGTTTCAGGGGAGCAGCAAGTCTTGGGGCTCATGATGAGGAGCCTCTGTTTTCTCAGTGAAGGAGGAGCTGAGGTGACCTGCTGAGAACAGACTGGTTTAGAAGACCTGAGAAGGTTTGAAACAGCCCTGATGAGTGCTTTATAGCGAGTCGGTGAGGACAAAGCAGGCTCCTGGGGAACACTGCTGGCTGCGGGGATTCTGCCTGAATCACAAAGACGTGGTACCTATTCTGGGGAGAGCCCATTTCTTCTCCTTCCCCTGAGAAGTATCTGCATCCAGCATCTGGCTGTTTCCTTGGTTAAGATTTCTTTTAAAAGAATGTTTAGAACTTCTTCTGTCAATAAATTACCCCTGTCATCCCTCTGAGATTGGCCAGCCTCCCTCCACTGCTCTCTGCTTTCTTTTATATATATCTTAATCTCCTGCGCGATCTTCCCTTCACTCCAGGTTGCTCTTTTTTCTGTTTTGTTTTTACAATACTCTCAATCATTTTCCAGTCACCTCTCTCCCTGTGCCCCGGATCCTTCCCCTTCTTACTGGAAGCCCAGCATTTTGGCACCTGCTCACTTTTTCCATACTTTCATTTTGGTTTTGGGTGTAGGTTTTATAAGCAAGACCAGCAACATAATTTACAAGGCCCAGTGCAAAATGAAAATGCGGGGCCACCTTGTTAAAAAATGATTAAGGATTTCAAGATGGTGACAACGGAGCCTTAGACTCAGTGCAGGGTTCTTCTGAGCACTGGGCGCTCTGACTGCAAGGGTTGCTCTCCTGGAAGCCAGCCCTGATTGCACTGTTTGTCGCTTTAATTTATGGTTTATTCACCATTTTCTGAACACTTTCAATTTTGCTTCTGTCGTCTCTGCTACTTTAACTTGCTCAGTTTTGCACAACATAGCATGTTTATGAAAATCAAATAAGAATTCTGTTTTCATTGTTGTTCCTTTCTACCATCTTTTTTTGTTGACCTAGAAGAGTGACATGACACTCCCCCCAGGCCCAGCTGCCTGTGGAAGTTGACGCTTGGGTACTCCTGCCATAGAGAGCCTCTCGAAGTCACGGTGCAGATTAAAATGGCACTGAGGGAGTGCTGCCCCAAAGGAGACTGGGTGGAGAGAGAGGTTAAGTTACCCAGGCAACCACACTATCAAAATCGCCCAGGCACTATGCATTACTCAGTGAACCGCTCAGATAAGCATTCAATAGCAATGACCAGTATTATGTCCTCACTTGGCTCTAGCTGATAGCCAAGATGCTGACATAATGCAGAAGCACAGTTCTGGTTCAATAAGTTTTCTTCCAAATGTGAGGACTCTTACCTCCTTTCCTTAAGGCCTCTAGTCCCACCCGGTTGCCACCCACTGCTAGTAGCCTCAGCCCGCTTTTCTCCTGCCCCTTCCCTCCCCACCAAGGGTCCAGCTACCTACTTGTTGGTCTGCCTCTGGTGCTGGATAACCATGTTTTTTTCATGGATCGTCTCCAACAGGGCTGTCGCCAGAGATTTCAGATCAGAAATGGACTGTGGAGTAGCTGGGAGACTGCATCCGTGATCCTCAGATAACAGATCCTGAACTAGGTAGGATATAAAATTTACAACTCAGTCTTAAATCTTTTCCGAATGTTGGAATGCAAACCAATGGCAGTTCTTCCTGGACTATGATAGGTTCCCAGCTTCTAAATGCTACTATTTTGTGTTGAAGAGTCTACTTCATGTGTCAAAAGTATAACAAAATAAAATTCAGTGTGAGGGTTAAACAAAGAAGGAAGTCTTGACGGACTTTGATCAACAATTTTTTAAAAGGATAATAATCTTTTGCGTCTGTCCAGTATTTTACACTTTCACATTGACTAACTCATTTGAGACTTAAAAAAAAAAATCCACCTGGGAAGTACTATTTATTCCCATTCCATGGGCAGGAAAGCAAGGTGCAGATGGATTAAAAATATTGGCTACAGGTCACACAGCCACGCATATGACGACTCTAGCCGTGAGCTTCTTGCTTCATAGCAGAGATTCCCACGGTGTGGTACCCTCGGTGGGAGGCAAGAAAAACTACAAAATATATCTGTATATGCACATTTTTAGAAAGGGTACATAAACTAAGAGGTAACATAGAAAGACAACAACCACCTGTACTCCTACCAGACAGAAGAAAAGAAACAGTATACATCTCTCACTATACATCTTTGAACATCATTTCCTACATGCCTATATGTAAACATATAAATTCATATGTTATTCTTCAAAACTTGGAAAAAGCCATGCTTTTTTTCACTTAACCTTATGCCTCATGATGAATATCTCCTAAAACATACAAGGTAATTGTTGCTTCGTAGTCCAGGTGTAGATAGATAAATTATTTAATCACTGTTGGATGTTTATGTTGTTTCCAATGTTTGTTATTATAACTAATGTAGGAAGAACTTTCTTGAAGCAAAATATCTGCAAAGGTCTGTAATTATTTCTTGCTGGTTCAAAGGGGAGCAGTTTAAGACTTTCCATAATAGGTTGCCAAACAGTTACCTAGAAAGGCTATGCCAGGTTACCGCTCTGCCGTGGTGGTTGAGTGTGGCTGGCACTCCCCAGGTCAGTGATAACACTGGGTCTCAACATTTAAAGATATTTGGCTACCAAGGGTATCCAGAGCTAAATTTAGATGGGCGACTTCACATTTTTATAGAGTATTGTAGCTTTCTTTTTAAAAACAATTCTAGGGTGTCCTTTTCTAGTTGGGTGGAAAAAAACGTTGCTTGGAAAAGTGCTTTGGTTATTAGGTAGGCTGGAGATTCAGCACTTTTTTTTTTAAGCCACTCTAGCTCTGATTAAGACTGCCACCTGATTGTTACTGGTCTGCACTGCCAACAACCCAAAAGTGGGCCAGCCAAACATGTTCAACTGGAGGCTTACATTTGGAACTGAATTCCCAAATATTAAGTGTCAGAAGAAAGCTCTCTGATATTTATTCCCCTGGCCTGTTCCTGGAAGATCATTATTTTTCATCGCAATCGACAAGAAGGAGGAACAAAATTGCAATCAATAAAAGCTTCTTTGAAAAAGGCACATGTTCCATGATAAAATGATTTCAGCAGCTACAAGACTTTTCTACTCTGATCATAGAGGCCAGGAAAAGGAGAAACTTGACGAGATTGAAACATACTCAGAGATGCCAAACTGGGGATTAGAGAAGGGAAAACATTCTTGAACGGAGCGCATGGTGTAGGGGAATACACACAAATGCGGTCCAGTCATTAGAAAAATCTCGAATGCAGCAGTTCTCAAAGGAGGGTCACCAAACCAGCATCAGCATCACCTGGGACCTTTTAGGAAATGTGTGTTCTCTGCACCCACCCCAGACAAACTGAATCAGAATCTTTGGGTGGGGCCCAGAGATCTGTATTTTAACAAGCCCTCGAGGCAATTCAGATGCAGGCAGAAGTCTGGGAACCATGTTCTAAAGGATCATCTTGGTTCCCAATCCGCAAAACGAGCAGGTTGGATGGATGTGGGCTCACAAATCTACAGGCTATGCTCATAAGTGGTCCTTCCTGGAGAACCCACCTTACCTTGCTTTGCAGACAAGACTCCAGTCAGAGCACTGCTGCTGGATTTGCCCTGGCCTTTTGAGTTTTTCCGTCTCTCCAGAGCATTCTAAAGCAGCATTGGGAGAAAATAAAAACCTCTGTCAGAAAAGCCAATAATGGAAAAATACCTACTTAACAGTAGAGGCACCCTCCTATTCAGCACACAAGAACCCCTGGCCACTTCCAAATGCTGACCCAACTTTTAGAATTCCGAGTCCCTGCCAAAAATTATGATTTTTATGGACCTGGTAAAGAGTTTTTTAAAAAGTTGGTGCCCAGGAGAATGACAGCAATCCCAGTCTCCCATATATAAAAGGCACTCAATCCATATTCGTTAAATTAAATCAAACCCGAAGCAAGAATCCAGTCTAATGCGTGAAGTCACTAGTTATGGAAACCTCTTCAGAACAGATATGAGATGGAGAAGAGGTTTACTCTCATGTACCAATGCCAAAGATGGTTAGTGGTATTTGGAAGAATTCTATGGCTGAACTGGAAAAAGAGCCATGATCCATTAGTGATATCTGCCATGGATGCAAGTTTAAGGAAGTGCAAATGTGCCACCTAAGCATCATTCCTGGAACCGAGCTTTATATTAACATTGATATGACTATATAGCCGGTGCTTGGCACATACAAGAACTGAATAAATGCTGTTAAATGAATGCATACACAGATTTTTAAATTTATGTATTAATTATACAACTTTAAAAGCTGTATTCTTCTTTGGCTGCATGTGTATATATAGATTGGTGTAAACTAACGTGTGGCCCCCACAGAATGGGAAGAATAGCATGGAGACTTCCGAGAAAAAAAGCCAACAGTCAAAATCCAGGAGAATGAGCAGGCTCCCCAAGCATCTAGACCACTGTAAAAGTTCACCCCAGGAAGAGAAATCAATCTATTTTCAAAGCAGAGAAACCCAGGAGATTTTTCTAATTATAACACTTACAACTAACATCTGCAGAAATAGATATTATCAAACTAATGGTGCTGGAATTAGACTAAATAACGGGGGAGAATTTAAACATTCCGTCCTTTCCGTGTGACGTGAACATTCCCGTTCAGATTGTGATTTCCCAATCTTTGTTCACCGCTAGGAAACCATTTTCTTATGGATGATTATGGGTCAAATAGCATCGGATGGCAGAACATTTCATAGAAAAGCCAGATAAGAAACCTGATTTCACAGGGACCAAGGCTGTAAAGTGACCACATCCAGATTTTCGTGGCCTCAGTGTGCCCTGTCCAGATAGCAGCAACAGCAGGAGCTCTTGCAAAAGCTGTCTTAGTTTTGTTTGTTGTTTTGGGTTGAATTCTTACTGGTTACGTCAGTTAAAGCTCTTACTGGACTCTATCTGGGAGGACAGGCAAGCACTAGAATCTCTTTGGCACAGAGGAGAATTAAAATAGAACGACATTCAGATGCACAGCAGCGAATCATCACCATCGTCCCCACGATTTGCTACCTTGTATTTGGCAATATTAGATTTCAAGAGGTTGACCTCTTCGTGAAGTTGCTTTAATCTCTCTTGAAGATACCTGCAAAAGAATACATGCAAATAGAAAGCACATGGGGGCAAAATAAAAAACATACACTTCAGTAGAAGAGGAAAAGGAAACAAAACCACATCGCTGAAGAGCCGTCTCTTGCCTAGAATGCCTTCTCACCACCAAGCGGAGGAGGAGAGAAGTACATCTCTGTGACCTCTTCTTAAATGAACGCGATGAAGGTCAAGTATGCCCAAATCACAGAAACCCCACTTTAGAACAGCCCTCTGCAGAGATCCCCTCAGGGATATCAACACAGTTTTCACATAATTCTCATTAAGATGATTCCACTGGGAAGGAAGGCAGGAAGAAGCGACACCAGACAGAACATTAAGTTAGACACATACACGCACTGAAATTTGCCTCAGGGAAAAGAAACAGCCAAGGGAATTTCTCAATTTATTTTCTTATTCTTTTCCCTCTCCTTGAGAGCAATAACAAGCAGCTTTCGCTGGTTCCATACCCTTCTCACCCAACTAGGGAGGGCAGGGAGAAAGAGAGAATGGGGTACCAATGTAGGCGTGTAGGCATGCGGTGCTTCTTTTCTGACTCTTATAACTAATATGTGATGCTAATATCATCGTCTGGGGGTTGCGACTTTTATTTTATTGTATGCCAATGTTCTCAAATGTAGATAGGGCTGCAAAGAACTCCCAGCCTGCACACCTGTGGAGAGCCAGCATTCCACCCTACCTGAGTCTGGCCACTTGCCTGTTCTCCATACACAGGGCGTCCACGTCAATGATGCGGTTCTCATGCCCGCCCAGGATGTGGTTTAGCTCCTGGTTGAGCCTCTCCACCTTGTCCTGGTAGGAAGACCGCTCTTCTTTGACATCCTGAAGCTCATCCACAGAGGCCTGCAGGTCGTGCTCTAGAGACTCAATCTGAAACCAAAGGAAGCGTCCTTACGCAAGATGTTCTTCAGATGGTGGCTTTAGGACCAGAGATGGAGACTTCCGCTTGGATGGTGGACTCTTAGAGAGCTTCTTCATACCACCGCATGCTATAAAACCATAAGTGCCCACACTGCAACATGATAAAAGCTAAAAGCGATGGACGACTTCCTTCCAGAAACTCACTCTATCTAAGATGGGAAACAGAAGCGATCCCTTACCTATTGCAGGATGCCCTAAAGCCAGAGGCTGGACAGGGTGAATCCAGACATCAGGAACAGCAGCCAGTGTCTTACAAATGCATACTGTTCAGACTTCTCTAGACCCAGAAATCTTGTTCTGCTCTTCAAAACCAATTAGCAAGAGAAAGAAAAGCATGTCTAGGCTCTCTTAGCTGTACCCTAACTAGGGCTCTGTACCTGTTGAGATTTTGCCTAAAAAGCATCGCTCAGCATTTCAGTAGAAACTTGCAAATTAGGGCCAGTTTGTCATGTTTTGTTCTCTCCCTGTCTATCCTGGGTAGCGGGGAGGTTTCCTGTCGCGTTCAGAACAACGGTACCCAGAGTAAGAGAGGAGATCTGCTGGAAGCCAGAGACACAAGAGGCAGCTTGGGAACCTGACGGAGTACCGAGGAATTAAGAGCACTCAACTGGCATCCTCCTCCCTCCTCTGACTCGCATCCCCAGGACCCCACACTCTCTGAAAAACAGGGGGCGCAGCCTACTCTTCTCTGTGCTGTGTCCAGCTGTGCAAACATATCTCCCGCTCTTAACAGATGTTAGCAATGACCTGCTCCTTAGCTCTCTCCAGCTGCTGAACCAAGTCTTCACGCTCATGGGCTGCAAAGTGCCGCACGCCGATTTCTTCGTCTCCGAGCCTCTGTTTGGCAATTGTCATCCTCAAGAGCTGTGTTTTCCATTCACAGAAAAAGAGAGAGAGTGTGTATTAAAAGGAATAGATCCAAACAAAAACCCAAGCACACTAGGCAGAAAGTTTTAGAAGATTTTTCAAGAAATACCGAAAAAGCACAAGACATTTCTTGCCAATATCATGAATTAAAAAAAGAGAATTAAAGTATATACAGTATTCTGTACACACATGCACATGTACACACGTGCACGCATACACAGTATACAGGGCTAATGGGGACACAGGCCTGTGCACTAGAAGGTGGATGCCCTCTCCAGCACAGCCAGAGTGAGGAAACAAACTCTTGGGTTCTCTTAAACTCAGCAAAGATTAAAAGATGATAACACAACGCTGAGAGGGGCATGCTTCCATCCTCTTAACAATTAAGCTAGATTACCAAGAGCCTTAAAAATATCCCTACCCAACGATCCAGTAACTCTACTTTTGACAATCTGGGCTAAGAATAATTCCAGACATGGACAAGCTTTAGGAAAAAAGAAAAAGTAGATTGCACTGTTATTTATAAAAAGAGTGAAAAAAACTGGAAACGACGTCTAACAATAGTGGAGTGGTTAGCAAACTGTAATGCAGTCAATCAGCAGGCTACTTTATGCTGTCTGAAATGAGGGTGATACGAACTCTGTAATACCGCAGACAGGTTTAACATGCCATGGGAAAAGGGAAAAAAGCAGAATACTAACTTTAATATGCAGGATGATTAAAATTATACTAAGAATTTATGCACAAAACACAAAAAATTACCGAATACATCAAAATATTAAAATGTGTATGTTTAGAGATGGTGAGACTGTGTACGCTATCTGTTCTTTGTTTTCCAACTTTTAAAATAAGTCTGCATGATTTTCATAACATACTTCTATTTATGTTTTAAAATCCCCAGGGATAAATTTTCAGTCTTCAGAAATGTAATTTTCCAAAGGAGCCCTCCAGAATCCATAGCTTCCCCAGACCCGGGAGCCAAGCTCCCTGTGCAGCTCCAAACCTTCTAGGTAGGGCCACATTGGGAACTATGTGCGAGTCCCCAGGAAGATCCAGTGGTCCCAGAGCATCCCCAATGTGCTCATCAGTGCAACACAGGTTGCCATTAGAGTGACTTTTTAAATTATGGCACTACTTCCAGACGCTTCTTCAAAAGAGGTTGTAAGCCTGATTCCCACATCTCCCAGGAGGGTGTGTGTAGATGGGCTTCATATATGGATGAGTCCTGGGGACAGTTTTTTGCTGTCATATGGTTCCAACCTTGCCAGGAGTGCCTGCTTGGGGCATGCTCTTCCTTGTTCCTGCATGAATCTTGAGGGATTTGTTGTCAGTAGAGAAAATGGCGTTATTTTCAAGTCTCTGAAGGATTTAGGTGCAGGTGAGAGAAAAGTAAAAGTCAAGGTATTAACTAGATTGAAAAAATAAATAACAGCAATGAACTTTTTTTTTTTGAGGAAGATTAGCCCTGAGCTAACTACTGCCAATCTTCCTCTTTTCGCTGAGGAAGACTGGCCCTAAGCTAACATCCATGCTCATCTTCCTCTATTTTATACATGTGACGCCTACCACAGCATGGCTTTTGCCAAGCAGTGCCATGTCTGCACCCGGGATCCGAACCAGCGAACTCCGGACCGCCGAGAAGCAGAACGTGTGAACTTAACTGCTGTGCCACCAGGCTGACCCCAGCAATGAACTTTGAAAGAAATGACGACTAAAGAAAAGTAAAGAGCATTTTCAAATGACATCTATTTTGGGTCCTTATTTGAAAACCACTCAGTTGGATTGGACTAATATTTACTGTGCACCTACTACAAGCTAAAGTATCGCTGGGATTGGGCAGACAATGCTCCAGGCAGTGGAACAGCTCGTAAAGACCTGGCAGAGCACATATGATATTTATGTATACAAACAGCTGTGCTTAATGGAATCTAATTACTGTCAATCTGCATTACTCAAAGATTCTGTATTTACGAATCTGCCTATTCATAAATTTATCTGTAACCTCAAAATCAACATTCATGGCACTTTCAAATCACATGTGGATATGGGTGGACAAGCACAGAGTTGTGAAAAACGTGAATTGTCTGAAAGCCAGGTTCCCAGCTGAGGTTCAACAGGACAACACTCTGCTTTTGTTTCAGCTCCCTACCGTGGACAAGTGTCCTTTGTTGTGGTCTATTTAGCGCCACTTTTTTTTTTTCTCATTTTGTGCTTTTGACTGGTGTTTTGCTGTTCAAAATGGCCCCATGCGTAGGGCTGAAGCGCTGTCTAGTGTTCCTATGCACAGGAAGGCTGTGATGTCTCTTACAGAGAAAACATCTGTGCTAGCTAAGCTTCATTCAGGTATGAGTTACAGTGCTACTGGCCATGAGAATCAACAACACACATTTAAAGGGGTGACTTTAAACAGAAACACACATGGGACAAGGTTGTGTATTGTTGAGATGACGAAAATGTCATGACCGGAGGCTCATAGGAACCCAATCCTGCATTTCCTCTAGGAGCAGTGGTTCTGTTTTCACTAACCCAGTGTTCAAAGTGACTTTGGAGAATATCACAACAGCAAATAATGAGAATGAGCTGTACTAGGGGCAATGGTGCTTCTCGCAGAACTGGTTAATCCAACCGACAGCTGACGTGTGAAAATATCTTTCACGTCACACAATTTCTTGGCTCAGGACTTCAGAACCACAGGTGGATATACAGAAAGACAAACAGCTAACCAGATAAGAACCATTTCTCAGATCAAAGTGTCTGGGAACAAGAAGGCATGTGCCTTTTTCAGCATGAGGCAACTGGAGGCCAGTGATACTTTCCTTGATATGTGAAAAGCCAGACTGACAGCCCGAACTTTAAGTAATAAAACAACACTGTGGTTTCCCATTCACAATATGCTTCACCGAACACTTAATTTAGAATCACACAATTATGTTTGCTTAATGCCGATTAATTATTAAACATGTTTATTGAGGTCTGACAGCCATCAAAGAGAGTCATCTTGTATATACTGGATGCCTGTTAAGCTTCAATAAATATGCTAACAATCATTTGGTGTTTAACATGCATACAATATTGGCTATTAAATCTCAGGGCTGGACTGGTTGAAACACTTATTTTGAAAAGTGAGCCCAAGTTAGTAATCGCTGGATCATTGGTTGGGTCTGACACTAAAGTGCAATTAGTAGAAGGGGCCCAAGAAGGTGGCACCCAGCAGAGTTCTCCGGCCTTCCCAGCTGACAGCTCATAGGGTCCAGAGTCCGCTTGCCTATGGGTTCATGTCCTGGCTCCACAGTCTGTGAGCTGTGCAACCTTGGCACGTGCCTGAACTTCTCTGAGTGTTAGTATCCTTTGCTGTAAAAATACGACAGTAATAGAATAACTTTTTACTGTCAAGGGTTTGTAAGTAAGCATGAAGCAAGAGAGAGTGGAGTTGCATTAAATGAGCATTTAACTTGAGGGAATTCAAATATACGTGTTTGGCAAAAAGATGAGAGGGAGAAAAAAGAGGAGGAAGGGAGAGATGGAGAAAACAGATGAGAGAAACAAAAATTTTAGAAATTGAGTGACTCTACTCACCCCTGCTTTCAAAGTCCCAGCCTGAGAGTGAGGTGGCACAGTGACTGACAACATTTAGGCACAATCCTACAGTTCATATTTATACACAATGTTCCTGTTCAGGAGCATACATGCCCACGTGCCCTGAACTTCACGGACAATTTCAGGGGCCATCAAGGGGAATTTTGGCCAGACGCAAGCTTTTGCCTCTTACATGCTGCCTTCAGAACCTATTCCTAAGTAAGAGAAGACAGGACTTCTCTGAGACTTAGCACAGCCCCTGGACATAAAAAGCGCTTGATGAATGTTAGCTGCTACTACGACTACTGTTATGATGATCACCACCATCACCCTCCACAGTAGTCTCCCCACACAGACGCCTAATGGGGAAGTCCCATCTTTCTTCTAAGAGGGAGGAAGCAGAGCTCCCCCCGCCCCCCAAGCTTATCTGTAGCCTGCAGGCGATGATGTTGACTTCCCACCTTGGAAACGGTTAGGAAGCAACTGCTCAGGACTCTTAATTCCCTCAAACGAGGCCGTCAGAGCTCCACAGCCAGCCTCCCTTGTGCCAACACTCGAAGCGGATCAGTGCCCTGAGAGGCACACGCACTGCCACCAGTAGATGCATTCATTTCCTGATTTAGATGGAAATAAACGTTTATGAATGAATTATGGGTGTGAGTCGTCAGTTTATGGATGAGCCACAGCTGCAGCTGGGATGTGGCTGAGGGACATGGCTGCAAACGACGTGGCAAAATGGCTCTTGGATGCCCTTCCCCCATCCCACCAACGGGGTCCGACTCCTCTGCCAAGGGCCTGCTCAGACTCTGGTCCCCGAGCCCTCCAGTCAGAACGACGTGCTCCTTCCTCCATCTCTTCTCATCCCTCACAGCCCTCAAGGTTCTCTCTCTCGTCTTGCTGTCATTGGCCTGGATCCATTTTCCCCAGCATACAGTGAGAGGCCAGGAACAGCTATTATTCTCCAGGCGTTATCTGTGTTCAGATCCTGCTTCTGCTAATCCTAGTCACATGTCCTTCACAAGTCATCTAACCTTGCTGGGACCCAGGTGACATCAGTTTTTTTGAAAATGGAGATTGTCTTAGTCCATTCGGGCCACTATAACAGACGACCACAGGCTGAGTGGTTTATAATCAACATTTATTTCTCACAGTTCTAGAGGCTGGGAGGTCCAAGATCAAGGTGCTGGCAGATTCAGTGACTGGTGAGAGCCTGCTTCCCGGTTCATAGATCGCCGTCTTTTTGCTGTGTCCTCACATGGGGATGAGAGAGCTCTCTGAGGTTTTTTTTTTAAGGGCATTGATCCCATTCACAAGGACTCCACCCTCACGACCTAATCACCTCCCACAGACCCCACATCCTAAAACCATCACATTGGGGATTAGGTTTCAACATACAAATTTGGGGTGGACACATTCAGTCT